ACGTTCGACCTCCATCTTAAGAGTGTTGGTGTGGACCCGTTGGAATAGGGTAAGCCCTTGCATGATAGGTTTAGCATCAGGGAGAAGTTCTACTTCGTATCGTCCATCTGCCACTTTCCTAAAGTACCATCGAATAGGTCAGAGTACTTCGTCAGTAAGGAATGAAGCTGTTCCTTCTCTTCCGTGTTTAACTGATCTTGACTTTGGCAAACCTGCCTTAAGTCAGCTTGTTCGTAATTTCGCATCAAGAATCTTCTTGAGACGATCTGCACTGTCATCGACAGCGGCAGGATCAGGAATGAAAAAGTTTTCTTCTTCATTGGTGTCGCTATCTTTCATAGGAATAGATGCGCCGTCCCATTCCACTGACATGGTAGTGAAATCGAACTTGAAACCTAAGTCAGAGAGAATATCTCGACCTATGATCATGTCATACGCCCCAAGCTCTTGGTTGACGTGTAGGTCCCACTCGATAATTCTATCTTCGTGGAATTCAGGAATCATAATGCACCCTTGCACTTCGCTGGTGTTTATTCTCCTGCAGGGGTAGTCAACATCGTTTGGCGCCCCCAAGATCTTCATGCGTAATTTCTTAGCATGAGGTTGAGCAATCAGGTTCGGATGCTCCTGTATCCAGCAAGCAACGGAGTGTAACGGGTTTTGGTTTCCCTTTTTCTCGCTTGTTAAATCTAACATAAACGATGGTTTGAGGTCTCTTGTCTTGCGACGTTTACGAGGTGGTTGGCCACGGACGAGGTTAACGATGCTAAATAGATCATCAGAGTCTAGTTGAGCAGCTTCTAGGCAATCAATCTAATTTGCCGTAGAGTTCATCAGTTGCAAACAATTCTTGTTTACTAGTTAGTGAGATATCTTCATCACTTGGTATGAGAAATCGGAACAGGGTTCCGTTGAGTCATCATCCTGGCCTAATCCTCAGATAGAGATTTCTCCATCCAAGTGATGTAAATTGATAGAGGAGTTGTCCTCATTGTCAGAGTTTTCTGATTTGCGCTTGGCAACATGGTTCGAAGTCTGATAAAGAATCCCATTTGAGGCAGAGGTTGAGCAGTGAGTTCTGCAGGATCAACGTCTGATGTCTATAGTGCTTGTTTGATTCCAAATGCAATACACGGATCTCAGCCTTATTCGCGACCCGATCATAGATAGGGTTTCAGTTCGACTCATGACCGAGTCTTTAGTGAATAGTAATTGAGAAAGGGTTCATGACCCCCACAACACAGGCCGCGGATCGCACAACAACACAATAGCTTTTCGCTACCCTCAACCTATTCCTTCACAATGAATGGTCTAAGGAAAGCATGCGTTCCGCAACATCGAGAAACAGTTGCGTGACAAAACCCATTCTTCCTCTTGTCGACAATGACGAAGGAAACGAGATCGACGACACTAGTGCCACCACTTGCACCTATCGGCACCCATGTTGCCAAGTGCAAATCAGGAAACTCTGACAATGAGGACAACTCTCTAATCAATTTTAACACTTGATGGAGGATCTCTATCACTGAAGGATTTAGCCAGGATTATGGACTTCAACGACCATGTCGTGCACACACAAAATCCCAGATACTATAACTAAAGCACATCCAAGTGGTGGCAATGAACTCTACGGCAAAGTGGCAAATATCACCACGCACACACAAGTGGTGGCACGAGTGTGTCGATCTCGTGTTCTTCTTCATTGTCGACAAGAGGAAGATTGGTTTGTCACGCAACTGTTTCTCGAAGTTGCGGAACGCATGCTTTCCTTGACGCCATCTTCATGGTGAAGGAATAAGGTTGAGGGTAGCTGAAAAGCTATTGTGTTTGTTAACAAATGCACTACGCTAAAAGCTAGTGTAAAGATCTTTCGAGTGTTTTGAGTTTGAGAGAATGAAGTTATGAGAGAGATTAGAAAGCTATGAAAACTAATCAACGAGAGATCTCATCAAAGGATCGTAGATCTGGCTTCCCGCGGGAGACTTATGTGTGATAGATAGGTTGTGGTAGAATCCTACGTCTCTCACGATCCTAAACGGAACGCGTGGAGGTTTGTCTAGCCTGGATCTAGTAGCGTGGAAGTACTCCACGCTGGCTAAATATCTAGAGCGATGTTTCATCATCAACCTAGTGTGACTAGCGCGGTCATTGAGAACCCTGTCTCAAATGACTATTCACGAGAGACTCGGTCATGAGTCGAACTCAAACCCTATCTAGGATCGAGTCGCGAATTAGCTAAGAGCCGTGTATTGCAAAGGTATAGTTCTTGGCTGGATCCAGTCGCCCCTGTCCTGGCTGGCAACCATCACTGGCTGTCACCTTGTACCTGCAGACCACTGCTGCAACCTCTGCTCATTGTTCTGGTGACCTCATCTGCTTCCTTAGATACTTGGAGTACCGAGCTCTGAAGACCTTGGAGGCTTGCATGTCGGAGATCAGCCATAGAGTAACACTTGACCATTGGAGGACAAGAGGCCATGTTTCAATGCATGGAGAAGTTTCCATAGTCATCTGGTGAGTACTCATACAAGCAATCCAAGAGGTCTGTCAGTGCTTGAAAGTAATCAATGTGACCCTTCCTCAAAGTTGACAGGATCCTCTTCTCATAATGAAACAGGCCAAGTCTTCCCTCAATACCTGGAAAGAGTAACTCCCAGTAGTCATCCTTGTGGGGCCAGGTGTCACTATACATGGCAGCTGGATTGAAGTGTCTCCTCCTTGCTAGCTGCATGGCTAGCATGGGAGAAGTGGATGGTCTTGGTGGTAGGAACGAGAACTGCTGAAGCAATCTCTCAGTCTCAGTAGCAGCATCCCAAACAGCAGCAGCACCAAGACTCTTGCTGTAGTTCTTGATCACCTGGAAGGTGTGGTCTTGACAGAAGATTCCTTTGTTGCACTTGACACTTTGGATCTCTCTTGTGGGCCTTTGGTTGTCACTGATCCTCCACGGATTCCTGTTTGAAGCACAAGCAGCCATCATAGAGTCAAGGATGGTGTCACCAAGAGGAGGAAACTGTCTGATGTAAGTGCCATCTTTTGAAGAAAGGGATCATGATCAGTGTCGCTTCCTTGCCAGTAGAGAAGTAAGACATCATGGCTCTAGATACTCTCTGTTGATTGCATTGTAGATGAGGTGGCTGCATAGGTCTCCATTTCCATAGGTTAACATGATAGAATCGAATACTTCTGTTGCTGTTCGCTCCAAATGACAACCTTGTTAGGTAGAGCATACTTGGACTCCACTGGATAAGCAATGAAGCATGTCTGGGATCGAGACCAGCACTTCTGCAGAGTTGGCATCGAATCTTCTGTTGCAGCTTCCACAAACCATGGACATGACTATACACCAAGAAGGAGGACCAGTGATGCCCAAAGATAGGGAACAAGGTCCTGTTCTTGGACCAGTTGTGCCTCGCATTCTTGAGTTGGCCAGAGCATCTCCATCGGGACAAGGTACAGTAATCCACATCGATTCCAGTCCACAAGGAGTAGTTTCTGGCCAACAATGGAGTGGTAGTGTGGAGATTTGAATTGCTCCTCTGTGGAGGAACTGTCATGGTGAGTCCTTGGAAGTGTTGTCTGAATAGCTCCTGATTCTTAGGCCGATAATGGATTCTGACACTACTTGTGCCATTGCTAGCATTGCCAGTGGTGCTCCTTTGTCTTATGCTTTCCACAAAAGGCATATCATTTACAAGAGTGGTTACCTTTCGACAAAGAGCTACTGGAGTTGTGTGGTTGTGGATTTCTTCTGTTGCCGGCTCTGATTTGGTTTGGCGGTGTTTGTTCTAGCAGCAAAGAAGGCATCTCCATTCTCCTGTGTTGAGTGCTTCCAGCTTCCTCTCTCATTGAGTCGAAGAGGAGCACTGAAGTGCCTTGTGAGTCTTCTGCTCTCTCTGATAGTTTCATTGTCAGCTCATTCAAATCTCCTCTTCCTCTTGTTACTGTATTCTTAATACAGAGAACGTGATGTGATCTTTTTGGGACTCTGAAACCAAGATGTCTGGCCTTACAGATGACACACTTCTTGAGTGGATCAAAGACTTCTGCTACCTCTCCTCCCAGCGTTGTTTGGGGTCCTTCTTCTCTGGCTCTTGGATCTGTTGTTGTTGTTGGCAGCCAGTTGGTAGGCTCTCTTCTGTTGCGAGTTCCTCTGTTGACTTGGCAGCCCATTCCTCCATGTGAGTGGTAGCTCTCTGCTGTTGGTGGCTCCATGTCTCTCTTCTGCTGCTTCTACTGGCTTTTTGGCCGAGTTAATGACTGCAGGTGAGCGCAGTGAGCGGAGCATGTCATTGTCGATTTCGCGATGGAATCCTTCTTTCGCGAAAACAGAAACACGAAATTTCGAACTTGATAGCACACTGTATCCGTAATAACTATAAATGGTACGTTAAGTATATTTGAATTTTTGCGACATACTTCCTGACGTATTAGCTTGATTAGCCAATCAGATCACTGCCTTCTACCCCTTTCGCCCTCAGTACACTCGTACGCCTCCGTTCTCTTTAAACAAGCCGGTAAGGCTGTAAAGTTATCCTCCGAAAGGCTTGGTTATGTACAGTAGACTACATCTGCAAACCTTGCTGACCCACTAGACTCGCTTTGGTGTTGCTTCTTGCAAGTTCGAGAACGAGCCCTCTAAGACGCATGCAAGCAGATGCAGGATGGGTTATCCCATGGCTTCACACCGATCTGGCATACCACAACTCCTCACCAGCCTTCAGTATACTAGCTAGTACATATATTGGGGACTGCACAAAGGCGGGGTCATAATGACCAGATTCACAAGATGTACTCCAGGATTCTTCCATCTAACGTATTACACTTTTAAAACAACCCCCCTCCCCAGCATCCGCCGGTCCTTTAGCCTCCCCAGTTTCCTCCATCCATACAACCAAACAGCTCCGTAAAGACCCCGGCTCGGCATTCTCCGCCAATTCTTTTTGCTGTGTCGATTGAATCGATTCGATTCCCCTGAAAACTGCCTGGCAGCAGCTTCACTAGTTGCTGGCACCGGCCAAAACCTGACAGGGACAGCACAGGATACAGAAGAGGCATTCCCCAGCATCGCCGCAGTCGCCACCGCAGTCACAGTCGCAACCGCCGCAGTTGCACCCGTCACAGCACAGACAATCCATGCAGCAATCGCCACAGCATTGGCACCCGTCCGAGCACATTTTAGAGCAGTCACCACAAAAGTGTTGAATACCATTGTCGCAAATGCCTTGGTCGCAAACCTCGGGACAGAGTCCCGGAGAGTCGTCGTTTCCGCACCATACCCTGTCACAGCAATCGAAACTTACTTCCTGCATGTCTCGTTTTTGGTCGTTGCAAGTTCTCATCCCACCCTCTGGGCCTTCAAAGATGGGTCGGTCGTGTTTGGAATTGCTGGTATCACAGATATAAAGTAGACAGTCGCGACAACAATAGCATTGGAGGTACACCACCATACATGGGAGGCATACTACCATGCAGGGGCAATATGCGCCGCCCGGACAGTCTTGCATCCAAGGACACGCATCGTTCATGGAACGCCTTTTCGGCTCGTCCAGTTTTGGCTCCTCGTGTTTCTCACAGTCATAATCGGCACGATCCTGCATAGTTTGGGTTTGGGGTGGAACTGCCCCCTGAACGTCCCCATTCGTCCCAATCCATAAAGTTGAATTCTTGTCCCCTACAAGTAGCCTTGTGTTGCTACCCCCACCCGATACTCTCTGATACGCTTCATTTTCCTCATCCCCCGGAATAATTTTGATTGTCGATGTGTTTTCCTTCAGCTGGTCATTGTTGCCATCATCATTCCCTCTATCATTCATAGCTTGACTTTGGGGCACTTTTATTTTTCCGCTCCACCATTCTCCATTCTCGTGGTTTTGCCACCAATACGACGGGGCCTCTTCTTCTTGTTGATTATTTGGTCCTGTGTTCAGTTTGCGGTTGTCTTCCTTATTATTAGAGCAAGAAGAATCACCTTGTTGATTTGCCACTTTGCTTGCCTGAACTATCGGTTGCTTCCGTGGTAAATTTCGGGGTAGCCGCGCTGGTGCTGGCGGTGACGATTTCTGCCCTTGTCCATTATTCTCATGATTCTGCCACAAATAGGTCGGGGCCACCTCTTCTTGTACGTTGCTGCTTTGCCGAGAGTTTTCTTCCCTTTGAGGCGACACGATCCCTTCTTCAACTTGTGACAAGGACGGGAGTGTCTTCTCAGGAGCCTCTGTTTCTCCTTCTTCTTTGGTTGTCATGACGATGGATCGATCCTTTATTGTGGCTTGACTCCGGCTCTACTTGGAGGTTTGACAACTAAACACTGCCCATAGTACTGGTACAGCACCGGTTTCTATCTTCAAAGTCACGATGTCCGAAGTTATGACCCTCAGGTCCTTGAGAAAGCCGGAAGTCCCACAAGGTTACCCCACCTCCTCAGTATCTTCAGTCTGGCGGGTCTTAAAAGCATTATTTTAGAGCGTCATCAATAAATCTGTCGTTCCCCACAAGCTGCAGCAAGTTTTTTCACTCTTGCCTCTCCATCATCATCACGCATCCTCTCCTTGGATCGGGTCATCGGGTCTCTTTGCTCTTCGTGTACATGTACAAGTAAACAAACCAGGTTATTGTCGTATCGGCTACAACACGGACACAACCCAACAAAGGAATTTTTTTTCGTTCCTGCTGCAAGTAGTTGCCCAAGAATTCAATTTCTTTGGACTCTACTCCCCATTTTTGATTGCATCCATCACACACACACACACCAAAATCTCCAAGCCATTCTACCATGTCATCCATGTCTCTGGGATCCAAGGAGTTGGGAGGACGACCGCGTCAAGCCACGTTATTGGAACGATTTGGAGGAGAGCCTGTACTGAAGAATATAATCCAAGGGTGGTACCGTCGGATCTTCAAGGACGAAGAAATCAAACACTTTTTCCGAAAAATGGACATGAGAAAGATCACCAGCCATCAGTACGAATTTCTGTGAGTCGCGAAAAACAATTTGTCGGGCTGCATTGTACTTTGACTGGCATTGCATTGTTTATTTGTTCGCTAACCTACTCCATTTATCATGATTCACCTGCCTTTTTACTCCCAGCTGGGTCCTCTTTACGGAATGCCCGGACGACTTTGACTATCTGAATATGCTTCGAAAAAAGCACGAGCGGCTATTTCAACGGGGTCTGAATGTCTCACATTACGATCGAATGATGGGCTATCTAATGGACACCCTCCATTCTCTAGGTCTGCAACAGAACTTGATTCAAGAAGCAGAGCGTTGTCTGGGGCCCATACGGCATGTGTTTGCAGAGGGGAACCAGCATAGCTACTAGCTAGACAAATATATTAGCTGGGGGCTGCATGTATATCTGGTGGTTTCCTCTGATTGTATGGTACTATGAGCTGTTGCTGGATCTTGTACTATCCATTACCTCTTCTTACAGCACCAATCACTCAATCTGCACACAAACAACTAGCTAATCGTAGTCCCTACTATGTATCAATCTCGCTTTGGATTTTGTTTTGGAGTCAGTCTGCCGTTGTTTGCTACTAGTGTTTTACTGTACTAGCTACAGGGCTGTAGGCTAAGACGTTTCCTGTCCATTTGCTTGCGCTTTGGCAGCTTCTGCGGCCCGTATTTCCGAACTACTAATATCCGCTCGAAAATCGGACTCTTTCAACAAGACAAAGAGTTCTTGAACATCCTCTGGCAAACCCACCAATGCTTCTTCCCCCGTGACAAACTCGACTTGTTCAATATTGGTTTGCTGTTGCTGTTTTTGCTTGTCTTGATTCAACCTACCACCGACGACAAACCCAGCCCCCATGGACCGTTGTGCCTGTAACATTTGTTCGTACGAGTCATTGTAATATTTGGAATTCAACACGCGCACCATGGTATCGGTCCCAATGACAAAGGACCATTTGTTGCTCGCATCCGTGGGTGTATAATATTGTTGGAGCGCCCGAATCTTGTCGCTAAACAAGGGAGCACTCGTCAAGAGTATACCCCACTGCTGTCCGTCCGGCATCACGTCCCGAAAGAGCGAGACGCGTCGTGCGACTTCGTCTGCTTCCATGGCCGGTTTGTCGGCGTTGGTAATGGAAAGTTCAAAGACGAGGGGAACACTACTACTACTTTCGTCTCCAGTAGACATTTTGGCAATGGCCGCACGGGCCAATCCGACATGTCCTGGATGCGGAGGATTAAAACTCCCCGGCATGATGAGACAATTGTCGGGTAATACGGGATAGACGAGTGGTTCCAAAAAGACATCGTCGTCCGAGTTGGCAGTGTGGAGCTTGGGCAAGAGCAAGACGGCTTTTTCATGTCCCGACAAGATGCGGTTGGCCGCTTTTTGAATGATTTGATGTTGTTGTTCCGTGTTGTTGTTTGTGTTGGTGGTGGCCATCCATTGTCGAATGGTGATTCCTTCAAATGTCTCTGGGTCAACAACAGTAGTGGCGTCATCGGTAGTTGTACTATCAGCATTTGGTTGTGTTTCTTTCTCCGCCAACGTTTCCATTGTTTGCAGAATCATATGACTGCACAAGACATCTTGTTGGAATCGAGTATTCTGCGTGGGACCACAATTGAGTGTGTATTGCATACACGTTTGCGTCCCATTGGCCCGTGTGGCCACGACATTGCCACGGCTGGGCCGTCCCGATTTGGACATGCCTCCCGCGGTGGTGGTTTTGAGCGTTGATGCCGATCCTACTCCCACGGTATCGCGAATGGCTGCCAATGTACCACTGGTCGCTCGCAATTGCATTCCTTGCAACAGCGCACTCTGCGATGCCATGCGAGCCGCGTCCAAGGACGAATAGGAAAAGCCAGACGATGGTATCGATTGTTGCGTTTTATTGACGTATCGTTGAAAAGACGCTCGATCGTACGTGACGGTTCCTTCTAATAGTAATTGCGAGGCACCCGATGTCGCCGCCAGTGTGGACAAGGCGTGGCCTCCCCCACCGGCAATCGCCATGGCGACCTTGCCGAATGACGCATGATTTTGAATCAGCCATTGCGCCCGTTGTTGAAGGTCTTCCAGACTGTAGGCATCCGGAGGTGGACCGGGAATTTGGGTTGTCGTTGCGACTATTTCATCCGTATCTGCCTTGTTGACAGTACTAGTAGTATTGCTCGACGCCATTCTGCTGCTGCTAGCTGATTTCGACGACAGCGTGGGTGCAAAGGCAGTAAAAAGTTTTCCTGGCTGTTGTCGTTGTCTCTGAACAAGCGGAACCCTTCGTGCAACAAGACTGGAATAAGGCCCTACCCAAGCACAAGATGCCATAGGCGATAGCAGCAGGAAGGGAAGGATGGTCTTCGAATTCGTCGAGAGCAAGACAAAGAAAATAGTGGAAATGGTAGAGGCAGTCGTAAAGGGTAGTCTCATGGCACTCACAAACCAAACCACTCCACTTGCTTGCTCACACTCTACAGATACAACTGACTGGGGCTAGCCAGTGGCAACGATAGCTATGTCGGCACGTCAAAGGAAGGGCTGAACGCCAAAGATCCGTCTTCGCCATTGTCGGCACGTCGTCGTTTCTTTTGAACGTCATTCATTCAAGCCCCAACCCTTTCCATTGTCTAGCTAGCTAGGGTTGAGGCTTTCGGTCTCTGGGTGGCCATATGCTGCTGTACTGTACGTGTACTGTATGGATACTACAACGGAGCTACATGTACTTGTGCCGTGGGTAGGTGCTCCATAGACTGCTTTGGGTCGTAAACCATGAACTGTTTATGCTAGCTAGCTAGATAGATCAAGTCCAGACATACATATGCATATCCTTGTCTGGCAAGTCCCCGTGCCAAGGCAGGATTGTAGGACAGATTCAACTCTTGCAGCTCCTCAAAGATAGTGTCAGACGAGTGGAGGCAAAAGGACAGTCTCTGTCCTGGGGTTGTTTCCCAAGTAGATCACAGTGAGGTTGCCTAGCTAGATTGCCCAATGATGGAGGCATGGCAGGTCTACCCTGTGAAGAGATTGTTCTCCGCCAAGTTGCTTCAAGACTGCCAATTGCTTCATGTTTAATCCAAGCTCATCAGGGATGGAGCCATCAAACTTACTGTACTTGTTTGCACCCAGCACCAAGCAACTGCTGGAGATTGGTGAGTTTGGTACTCTCAAAGGGAATGGTATGTCAATGTTGTAGACATCGCTCCAAGACCAAAAGTGAATCTGCCAAAACTCTAGCTAGGCAGGGGATCTATTAGCTGATTCTTGAAGAACCTCAGAACACAAGATGACAAAAGTAGAATGCTCATCAAACAACCGATACCGGAGGCTTTCGGGGTTAGCTAGGCTAACTAAGGCCCTGCCAGCAAGCTGCGGTGCGGTACGGTACTTGTAGCTAGTCTATCTCATCAGCGGTGCATGCACGCTGTACCAGTTCGACTTGAAGGGAATGACATTGAACCGGGGGTATTGAAAGCTTTAGGACCACAATTTACAAAAGATATTGGTCGCGTGGTGAAACTTCCTGGGCCGGGATTCTTTCGCAGATTGCCTGGATCCTGGATTACGTAGAGCTTCCTTTTTGCCTCGCCACAAAAGACTCAGCAGGCTCTATCATTCTTGTAGTCTTCTACGGTATTGCAGTAACTGACTCCATCTATCTGCCAAACTACAGATCAGTGTGCTCCTTGTGTTTTGCTACGGTACAGTTAGTTTGCTGAAGAATGGAGATGTGGGTGCCCAGATGTGGGTGGTGGCAGTCGAAGAATCTTTGGTATCACCGACTTTGTCTCCTTTTAGCCGTTGCCAATCTCGCATGGGCACAACAGTATTGCGGACCAACGCTGGGGTCCATTGCAGTGCCCACCGACGACCCCCAGATTACGTTGACGTTCAACTTTGGTGTGGATCCAGCCGGTAACACGCTCAATGGACAATTGATCTACAACCAATTGGGATGGCTGAGTGTCGGCAGCAATCCCAACGGCCTTGTTATGGAAGGAGCCACAGCTGTAATTGGACTACCCGACGTGGCACCCAGCTCGGCGAATCCTGGCATATACCAATTGCAGGGAAAAGCTGCTTCCCTGGTGACCCTGTTGGCCGTGCAACCACAGCCTCAAGTCAACGCCATTACCCAAAACGAAACACATACGGTACTTCAAGCCAACAATATCGTGTCCCTAGCGGGGATTGCCAACGGACAGGTCAATATTCTCTTGGCGGCCGGTGTGGACAATGATCTGGCATTTCATAAATATTATCACCCTGCTGCAATCACCCTAGAACCATGCGGCGCAACCAACAATCCACAGGCAACGGGAGGTCCCTCCACTATTGGTCCTTCCAACACGGCCACAACTATTTTACCAACCACAATAGCTCCGTCTACAATAGCCCCGTCGGTGGGCCAAGATATTGTGGTCGAAGGCTACATTATGGACCAGTTCTGTATCCTTCAAGGAGTCTTTCTCGACACTGGTTTGGCATCCCTTTTAAATCCAGACAAACACACGGTGCACTGCCTCATGGATCCTCCACAATGCTTCCAATCCACTTTTGAGGTACTCCTAGATCCGGCACAACCCGGACAACCCTACACCCGAGGCTACACGTTGGATTCTCCCAGTAAAGAAAAGATTGTTACCATCATCAAGCAGCTGGGAGCTTGCGATATCTGTGAGGGCAGTTCGGAAACCATTCGAGAAGGATTCCGGGCTAGACTGGCAGCGACAATCGTCGATTTGGGCAATCCAACAACAGGGTCGGGCCCATTGCTGTCCGTGTCGGATGCCTTGGCCATTTTACCCACCACCGAAGAAACACTGGCACCATCTACCATGGCAACCACCATGGCACCGACGTATGCCGTGGGGACGGTCTTGCCTTTGGTAGAAGGGTTTGTCATGGATTTCTTTTGCATAGAACGAGGCACGTTGCTGGATAATCCCACGGTAGTTACACTGGCCGGTCCCGACTTGCACAGTGTGCACTGCTTGGTGGATGTACAGCCTTGTGTCGAGACCAATTATGAAATCTTGATCGATCCAGTCACTCTTCCAGGAGGACAACGTGCGACGACGAGCTACACGCGAGGGTACGTGTTGGACCTCAACACCAAGAATCAGGCCATTAATTTGGCACGAGCCATTGGAACCTGCACGACCTGTACAGGGGCGGGACAATGGCAACGTGGCTTTCGGGTACGGTTGGTCAATTCGACCGTCCTGGCTCTGGGCGATGCTGCCACTGGTGCGCCTCCCACTATCGGTGGGACGGCTCAACAAATGATTCCCGTGTATTTCTTTAAAGATGCTTCCACACCGCGCAATCTACTGCAAGTGGGGGACTACGTCACAGCAATCGGCTATGTCATGGACCAGTTCTGCATTGAGTTGGGAACTCTCTTGGATAATCCGGCCTTGCCCACACTCAGCAATGCCAATGTCCACAGCCTGCACTGCCTAATTGACGTTCCCCAATGCGCTGCTTCGGACTACGAACTGCTACTGGATCCATCGCCTGCGGATCTAGCCAGTAATCCCAACGCAACAACAGTTTACACTCGTGGATTCGTGCTGGATCAAGCAGGAAAGGACCTTGTACGATCTATTGCACAGCAGTACGGAGACTGTGACACCTGCACTGGCGGCGGAGATTGGAAGCAAGGATTTCGGGTGGAGATTAGAGGGGTGATTGAGGCTTTGGCGGGACCTGATGGAGAACCTCCAACAGTACGAGTTGAGTCGGCGATACCTCTGAGACTTGATGATGGAACTATCGAGGAGGATGACTCTGCCGTTTCAACTCCCATCGACAGTGCAGACCCAGTTACGGTGGATGATTCTGATTATGCTTCGAATAATCAAACTGACGATGCACAGCGGGAATGTCCTGAATTACAAACTGCTTTCCCCTACGTTGGCAAGCACGCGTTTTCAGATATTCCAATCATGTTCGAGTATGAAGTCAACGTTGAAGACCCCGCCACAGGTACTGGAAACATTTCTGTCAGAGTTGTTTATAGCGGAAATGGGTGGGTAGGCTTTGGCTTCAATGCAAATGAAAGCATGGTTGGAACGCTAGCTGTCATTGGGACTCCAGATGCAGCGCCTGCAAAGTATCTACTGGGAGGAACGTCGCCCACCGCAGTGGCATTGTCACCGAACCAGACGTTGTTGCCAACTGGTATACAACAGGATGGCCAACAAACGGTGCTAACATTTACCAAGCTTCTCTCGGAGCCGGGAGAAATCCCTATCAACCTAAACGGCCCGAATTACTTTTTGGTTGCAGGAGGAGCCAGCAATGTGGTGTCGCATCATATCCATCGCGGTGCAGTCAAGATATCATTCCCTCCATGCAGCGTGGATTCATACGATGATGAAGCAGATGCCTCTTCTTGCGATGAAGGAAGCTACGCCATGACGGGCGGAGGGCCATTGAGTTTATCGTACAAGTTGGATATGGTCAATGGCATGTTTCACGGCGAAGTCGTTTACGGAGGAACGGGTTGGGTTGGTTTCGCAGTGTCTCCAACTGGCGCCATGATTGGGTCTCACGCTGTCGTTGGGGTACCAGTACAGCCCCTGAGCACCCTTAACCCTGGGATCTACAGCTTAGGCAGCAAAGACTTATCCAACATCTTTCTTCTCAATCCAGGGGACAATGCTACGATTGGAACGATTGTGCAGAATGGAACGCATACAGTCATGCCATTTGAAATACCTATTGAGAACGCTCTTATACCAGGTTTGTCGATCAATCCAGCCGGCGTCAACAAATTCTTGCTTGCAGCAGGAGCCACCAACGACTTCGCATATCACCAGTTCCGTGACTCGTTTGAAGTGGACTTCGGTGTATGCAGTGGTGTTCTAGAGGAAGTAGACGTGGTAGAGATCGAAGGCGAAGGCGGAGGAGAAGGCGAATGCCAACAGGAGAGTACGAGTGTTGGAAGTTACCAGTTGGACAGTCAACCATTGGTTTTTCAATATACGCTCGACAACGACAATGGAGTGCTCATGGGCAACGTGGTCTATGAAGGCCTAGGATGGGTTGCCTTGGGAATATCCGAAACTGGCGCGATGATAGGGTCCATCGCCATCATCGGAGTGCCGTCACAGCCGGTGTCTTCCACCAACCCAGGTTTCTATGACCTGCTTTCCAAGGTTCCCGGCACTGCAGTCATGTTGATGTCGCCACAACCAACTATAAATCAGGGCAGTATCATCCAGAATGAAACACACACAGTAATGTCTTTTGAACTTCCGCTCGCTGGCCTTGCCAACAGTTCTCTGTCAATCAATCCCAGCGGGGACAATATATTTTTGATGGCAGCGGGATCCGACAACAACCTGAATTCCCATATCTATCGAGGTTCATTCAATCTGGACTTCTCTTCAGGTACGGCGCCGGGTTGTGAAGAATCAGAGTGGGAGATCGGGCAAGTTGTCAATATTGAAGGATTTGTTGTCGACAACTATTGCATCTCTCTTGGGTACTTCCTGGACAACAACACTACCAAACCGCTGGAGGAGCCCAATCTGCACAGCCTTCACTGCCTTCTTGATGTTGAGGTGTGCAACAATTCACCCTACGAAGTTCTTCTCGACCCAGAGCCCGGGGAGACGTTGTACAGACGTGGCTTCACTCTCGACGAGGAGAGCAAAGCAGGGATTGTGGCACTTGCCAGACAGATCGGTGCATGCGATACTTGCAACGGTGAAGGGCGACTTGAGAGAGGTTTTCGGGTGAAGCTCAGTGCAACCATCGTTGACTTGGGTGATTCGCAGACTGGAGCCCCGCCAACGATCTCCGTCTATGCCGCTACGCCCGTATTTTACATCACGGACTCATCGACAGTGGCGAATCTGATGGTCGGCGATAGCGTGGCTCTTGAGGGCTTTGTAATGGATGGGTATTGTATTGCCCTAGGAACGCTGCTCGAGGATCCTATGGTGGTCACTTTGCAGGAACCGTACAAGCATACAGTTCACTGCCTGATCGATGTCGACGTGTGCAGAGCGTCTGCATATGAGATCTTGCTCGACCCCCCTCCGGGCTCGAATAGCAGTTACACCAGAGGCTTTCAACTGGATGATGCCAGTAAAACCTTAGTGGCGGAACTGGCACGGACTACAGGTGTATGCCGGAATTGTACCGGTGGTGGAACTTTGCAATCTGGGTTCAGAATTCATGCCAGGGGTTCCATAGCTGCGTTGGGCACTCCGTCGGGGCGGTTGCTGCAGCAGGGTGACGCAACACCGCCCACCTTGAGTCTTGTGACAGTTACTCCTGCTCAGTCTGAACTGCAGGTCACCGCAGACGCTTCCACTTTGGCTCCTTTACCTGATACTGTCCCTGCCGGCGATGGCGGTGCGCAATCAGGCACGGTGGATTGTTCCCAGTACCAGTCATCCTACTCGTTTGCGGAGAATGCCAACCCAATCCCGATAAGCTTACACTACGTGGTGACTTTCGACGAGCAGACCCAATCTGGTTATTTTTCTGCTCAGTTGGTTTTCGAGGGGCAGGGATGGGTTGCCTTTGCGGTCTCACCGACCGGAAGCATGGTCGGCTCGTTGGCTGTCATTGGCTTGCCAGACGAGGCTCCTGGTCCAACCAACCCTGGGAAGTACGATCTAAATGGGCTAGTGGTGGAGCAAGTCACTTTGTCGCAACAACAAACATTGCTGGACAGCAGCATAGTCCAAAATGACACCCACACAGTGTTGACATTCAAGAAGTTGCTTACGGAACCTTCCGAAACGCCTATAGATCCAAATGGCCCGAACAACTTTTTGGTTGCAGCAGGGTCCAGCAACCAATTGGCATACCATCAGTATCGGGATGCTGTTCGGTTGGCGCTTGCGCCTTGCACGTCTGCAGGAGGGGGCAACGTTGATGCCACGCCGGAGCAGATTGAAACTGGCACCCCGCCTGACCGTAGCCTCCTGAGAGCCCATGGCATCATGGCTGCTCTTGCATGGCAAGTTGTTTGTCTGTTTTGATTCAAATGTCATCGGGACGTATCACTCACTATGAAAATGGTTTCCTTTGCTTACAGGGGCCTCCTTGCTCCTTTGGCTATTGGAAGCGCGTTAGGCCGCCATCTGATCCCGAAAATGGGATTGTGGTTCGAGATTCACCGCGGCCTGAACATCGCTGTACTCTGCTTCACTGTTGTTGCCTTTGCAACCGCATTTCGGGCAGTTGGAGCTTCCACAGGCGGCCACTTCCAATCCCAAGGAGATAGCGTACATCGCCCTATTGGCCTGTGTGTGTTTCTGTTAGTGGCAATTCAAGTAGGCGGTGGGTTGTTTCGGCCGCATCTTCCAGCTGAAGACGACAACGGTGTACCGATTGAAGAGAAAACTCCACTTCGGTACGGGTGGGAATATGTTCACAGAATATCTGGAGCGCTGTTGGTTGTCATGTCATGGTACCAGATTCATACAGGTCTTGTACATTACCAGACACTGTTCTCCACAGGGAGTTACACTGGAGTTTTCTGGGGCGTAACATCCGTGCTATGGCTGGCCATTGTCGCTGCCTTTGCCTCGCGATTCTACTTGTTGGATCCTCGTCCAGAATCTCCAGGGGCAGTAAGCAAACAGTCCCCGGAAGAGGACGCCGAAGAGCAACCTCTGACGCAAGATGACGATGTCGGCTCTGGCAACGATGCTGCTGGCGATGGTGAAGCTGCAACGTCTCCCGAAACTGATGCAAAGGCTGGAGATGACGACGAAGGCGACCCAGAATCTCAGCAGAATAGTATCGAGAAGAACGACGAGAATACCAACAAATTTGATGATTTCAATGACGAGGAAGTCACCCCTCCGAAGCGCAATTCGGGCTCTCGCAAGTCGTTCACGCGTTCGTCCGAGTTGGGCGTCTTCTTCAAGAACAGCGAAAAGAAAAAGAGAAATTCGTCCAAGCTCGGTGAAGCCATTTCGGAGGAGGGAGAGGATGAAGAGAACGATGACGAAAACGACAACCCAGACGGCGATAATGCTGATGAGGACGAAGGAAACAACCAAAAGCTGGCAAAAGAACCGTCCAAAAGAGGCTTCTTTCGCAAGATATGGGGGAAGAAGAAATCGAAATCAAACGCAGCAGAAGCATCCGAAAGCAATGACGAAGAAAACGAAACCGACGCGCTCCTGAATTCCCCCAAGAGTCAAGACAGCGAAAACAAAAGACCATCAGTTATTAACGAAGGAAACGAGGAAGAACAAGATAACGCAAGTGACAATGATGACGCGAATGCAGCTCAGGACAGTGCCGATTCAAATGAAGTTGAAGAGAAGGATGAATCACCGAAGAAGAAGGGTGGCTTTTTGAGCTCGTTTGGATGGGGGTCCAAAACAAAAGGTAGTAGCGATGACGAGGCAGCCAAAGACGACGAAGACAACAACGACGACGAAAAAGAGTCTGAGGAGAAGGAGCCAGAATCGAACAAAGCAGACGAATCAGAGGAAGAAAAGAAGGATGAGCCAGGTGATAACGAAGATGCTCCTTCCAAGAGAAAGTCAACTCGTAAATCCACCCGCAAGTCCACCCGCAAATCAGCCAAAGGTGGCGACCAGCCGGACGAGGAAGCAGTTGACGGTGTTGAACCGAAGCAGGAATGGGATGTTGACGATTCTTCCGACGAGGGTGAGGATTGAGAGTTGGGTTCGGCCATCTATACAATTTCTGGACGACTGGCCTGAATCTTCAATCTGCTTTCAACAAGAGCAGACCGAACCACCCTTATTATGAAGCCTTTCGATGAAAAGTTGAATGACAAAACCGAGCATGATGCTACCGGTACTGGTACGGATACCTCTATGGTACCGTACATCTGCTAAGTGGCAAGTACATAGATAAATAGATAGAATTTGATTCCTATGACTACCAGCGGCTAGCTATAGTTACCAGGTGTTGCTTTTGACTACAGACAGCCTGCTTGGCCCTGCACCTTACATGATATGAGCTCACGGCAGCTCTATCCTGACGGTGCATTCTTGATTGTCGGCGCCAAGGATTGTCTGACAAGCTTTTCTCAGGTTGTCGTCCTCTTTCTTTCCTGTCATGTCGTCCAAAAACTGCTCTCCTTGAAGGACTCGTACCATGCAAGTGCCGCAACTTCCACCACCGCCACAGTGGGAACCTCCTCGATTTACATCTACGTCTTGATTCATCAATACAAGACGCAGATTGTCTCCTGCCAAACCGTCAATGGTCTTTACGGAGTTACTACCACCACTGTTGCGTTCCAAAAGAATTTGGACGGGAGCTCGTGCTACCAATCGATTCAGCTGGAGATGAATTTCTGGAATGTTCAGGAGCTCGGCATGAGTCTTGGCTTGGATAATGACATCCATGGTAGAATCGTAATCCAGACCAGTGACACTTTGTCGATAGTCATCGCCACAGGAAACCCCCACAATGGAGTCTCCTACGGCAATGGATGTAAATTGAGCCGCATTCCCACCCACCCCACTGACCAAAACCAACCCGCGACCGCGCCCATCACCAGCCACTTGTAAAAGCTCCAGACCCAAACTGGGATCAATGGGAATGGCGGCACGAACATTCTCCACACCATATTTGGCGTCTTTGGACTCATAGCCACTGTGAAGAGCACTCAGTCGAAACTTGGTGGCAATCTCTCGAAACTTGGTTTCCAGTTCTTCTTCTTGAGAGGATGATGTGGATGCAGCACAGCCCACAGAAGGTCGTTTCACTCCAGAAGAAAGCGGGGTAAAGCCTGAGCCCAAGCCCACGGCCGTCAAGGCTAAAATAAGCAGTCGCAAGCTCCGATTCATCATCTTTCTCCCTATTATTAGATTTGCTTGTTATATTTTTGGAAGCGGGTTACTATTATGTTAGAGCTGACTTTTACTTTTTGTGGAGCGGAATGATCAAACGATTTCGGTTTCGGATCGACGAACTGATGCCGATCTTCTCTACAGGCGTTCGAATAATGTTTTACAATCGATTAGAATAGAACCGAATTGAATCGAATCCATCGAATCGAATGATTCAATCGAATGGATTGAATTCAACCTGAGCCATTGTCCCCTCTGGTCGTTCCTTTTGCGCTGACCGAGGCAAGTGCAGCCTTGAGTATGTAAACACCTCCGTTTGAATTGCATCCCAGAGTTGTTTTGCCATTGCCTCCTTCTCCTCTTCTATGATAGCTCCATGGTTGGGATCGCCCAAAGAGAAAAGTGGTGCGGAGTGGACACCCTTCAGGTTTTGTGGAAGCTCATTGGTTGTGGAGGCAACTGGGTGACGTTGCGAAAGCTTCCACCAAAAACAAGGCCTGCCACGGAAAACCTTGAAGCACACCCCAAACATCATACGGTAGACAATAGGTACTGGTACATGGCTGGCAGACTGCTGGCAGTGAGATAGATATCTTCCCGTCTCGGGTAAGCCAAAATTGTATGGTCAGCGCAATGTACGGTACCAAGCGGCCGCATGTCTAAACTAGGTCTGTGCTACAACCACTGGCTCTTCGTACCTAGTTTCTTTGGGCCTTTATTTTCTTTTATAGTTTACAAATTCTATATGTTTGTGGAGTAACGCCTAGTCTTTTCTGATGTCAGAGGAGGAGGAACAGTGACCGTAGATACCGGTTTCCTTTACAGGACACTGACTGGAGAGCTCAGTGGTTGTGCTGCTTGGGTATTGTCCAAGGAAGCCATGAATTGGCCAGAGCGATAATCTTCAGCAGCATCCCTAAAGATTTCTCGGATTGGAACCAGTGCTGCCTTGGCTTCATCGACAATAGAGGCTCGGAATCCTCGGTCCGTCAAAGTTTCTGCGAGATGTGTTGCGAAGATGTCAAAGTGAGTGTGATCCAGACCTTGCGCAAAGAGCCTTTGATGGGCGGCTCGAATGGCAATGATCTCATTCACATCCTTTTTGGTACCAGTAAATGCCATGGCAAAGAAAGTTTTCTGATGAGCCGTGAGGACTCGTGGGTCCAGGCCAGCAAAGAAGGTCTTGAGGATGGGATCTTCGGTCACTCGGCGACAAAACTCGTTGGCAATGCTTCCCAGGACAATCATTCCTCCCAAGCGATTCAGAAGGATATCTTCTTGTGGCTGCGGCGCTAGCGTTTCTGACAGAAGAGAACGGTCAGAGACGCCATCACTAGTATATCGACTGTTGGCGCTGCTGCACATGCTGTTGCGTCGTTGTCTGCGGCTGCTGATGCTTTGTCCCAGCTTTTTGGACTTTTGGACGATGTGTTTCAAGATGGATGTGCGAGCCATGGTCGTGCTGTTTGGTAGTTTGCTACGCTTTTTGGTTTCCAGATTCTTTGAATTATGAGCATTGGACAGAGTGATAGCTGAAGCTTGATCTGATCATTTCCGGTGATACAGTAGTTTGTTGGTCGCCAACAATCAATCGTAGGAGCTGTTGACACAACTACTACTACAGTCTACTACAAGAACAGCGGGTTTGGTTCGCCATTTTTTTGGTTGTATCAATAACTGTGTCCGCTTCCTGGCTTCCTGGTAAGCATTGGGTGGCCCCACTGGTTTTGTTAAATAATTCAGGTTTGTGTACTGGTACGAACTTGTACGAGACTCTACGAGTAAAAATTACTGAGTAGTTTTGCTGGTACATTTTTGATACTCTGGAGTATTCGACACGATTCTTAGCCGCTTCTTTATCTTCGTGGCAAAACAAAAAGCCTTGTGCCACGTGCAATCGGCTCTTTTCCTTTCGCAATGCTGACTATTCTACGGTGGACTGTGGAGCTACGGTACGGTTGTAGAAGCTCTGTGGAATTGGAAGACATTTCCTTTGATTCATCGAAGCTTATCCTACCATCAGGTGATCAAGGCTATAAATCATTAAACAAGGTTGTGAACAGAGAACGTTCGTTGGACACCTTGTTTCATGACCAACTTAGTAAGTTATTATAAGTTCCAGGTTCCAGGAGGAAGGAAGGAAGAAAAAACCGGGCCTGGGATGCTGGCATCTCACCACTCACCGCCCGGTAAGTCTCTACAATAATCTAGCTACTAGCTAGCTAGCTATTAATAGTAGTCATCAGTGGCCATACGGCCGTACACTCTACATCATGAGTATTTGCCTTCGCACTTCGGTTGTCTTCGCTGATCTACCAGGTAGCAGGTAGCTACTCTGAAGAGCTCTCTGGAGCTCTGGAGTACACCTTGTAGTAGCTGGCTACTATTAATAGTAGGCCTCCTCCAATCCGCCGCCCCTAAAAGAACTGCCTGAGCTACTGCCTGTCACTCAGCCGAATGCCAACAGCCACGTAGGGGCTCCTTGCTGGCTGGACTGCTACTATCAGGCCTACTCGCCACTTTAGCTTGTTTGATTTGGTCAAGCCTACTGTCCAGGAGAACGACACGTCTTTGCTTGAGTGGCTCAGCGGCTCCAGCCACACAAGCGGATTGATCATCGCGAGTATCATCGGCAGGTTAGCCCCTACATAATGTCCTCGATTGCTTGGCAGAAAACCCCACTGAAACATAGTCTACATGTATGTGCTGCTGCGAGCAAGGGCTGGTGGATCGCTCATTCTGAGCGTGGGTTTCTTTCACTGTGTGTTCACCGGCAACTGGGTGGAATGGAGCCTGGAAATCATGTCACTTGGAAGGTAACTGGTTCTATGCCTTCGCTCCCTTCTTTTTGCTTGATCAGCAGCAGTGGAGAAAAACAGTGCGAAAGATGAGAGCATCGCAGCAGTACCGCCAATGCAGCACAACTAACTAACTGTGTCCTCACTAGCTAGCTAGTTGATGGCTGTGCTGGCGGCCTAAGCAGCAGTGACCGAGCAGTTCTCTTGCAGCTCTATCCAGAGGCAAGTGTTGTCTCTATTTGGGATGTAGTATAATATGCATGCTGTGCGATATCAGCATCCAAGAAGGCAGGCCACCAAAGCTGCCGCAGGAGCATTGAGCATCGCTGCAGTACCGCCAATGCAGCCAGCACAAGAACTAACTAACTAACTGTGTCACTACCGTAGCTAGCTCTAGAGTTGATGTGCTGGTGGCCCAAGCGGCAAGTGTTGTCTATGTTGGATGCGTGCACATACTAGTACTGGTGAGCAGGCTGTGCGATATCAGCATCCAAGAAGGCGAGCTGCCCCTGGCCAAAACCAACAGCCTGACGCGACGCCGACGGCTAGTACCAGTACCGTAGCGTTAAGGATAAATGTTAGTGAATGACTGTGGATTTAGTCACGCGTTACGCATATTAGAGAGCAGGATAATCCAAACGTTAGCGCCCCTTCTCCTCCGAAAGGCTTCTTGAAGCCGTGAAATTCTGCCGCTTTGCGCTTCTCTTCCATTTCCATTTGAAGTCGGTGTTACCGAAGCAATCTCCTGTCTGTCTCTTTGGTTTACTTGCTTCCTCCCAAGCCATCATATCATAACCTGACCATGCCCCGCACCAGTAAAACTGCCGCTGGACGTCGAGCGTTCATTTCGAACAACACGTACATCAACACGAATAATACTACTGTAGTGTCCACCGAGAGCAGCACCACCCCCACCGATGACACGATCAAGTCCTCCTCCAGCTCTTCGAAGCAACCGAAATCGGTCTTGGACAAGATTGTGTATGCGATTCGTCAACAACCTGGGACGTCCAAGGGCGTGTCTCGCACGGCCATTGCCAAATACCTCAAAGCGGAGATGGAGTACGAAAATCCGAATGCCATCAAGACGGCGTTGAAGAAGGGTGTCGACAAGGGCGTGCTGGAGCAAAATGGCCAATCCTTTCGCGTGTCGGGGGATCCCGTGGTGGAGGTGGACGAGGGTCCTCCATTGGAAATTATTGATGTGGGTAGTAATGCTGACCAAAACGACGAAGACAATGGCGAGAGTATGACGGCGCAGATTGGAGATTCCGTCACGATGAAATATGTTGGAAAATTGGACGATGGCTACTGTTTTGACAGGGGGTCATTGACGTTTACGCTGGGAGCGGGTGATGTCATCAAAGGATGGGACCAAGGAGTGCCTGGAATGAAATTGCGAAGCAAGCGAAAACTGATCGTCCCAAGTCGACTGGGATATGGCAAGCGAGGCTGTGCCCCGGATATTCCTGGGAATGCGACGCTCCATTTTCAAGTCACGCTCACCGATATTAATCGACCCAACTAGAACAACAACAACCAACAAATGAACAACAACAACAAAACAACAACAACGCACTGTGGATTGACGTGCCACACTGCACGCAATTGTTGCCGCAACTTGTCAAAACAAAAAGGCGCTGTTTCACCAGTCGCCGCCCAGGGGTCCATTCAATCAAAATGCGATGGAAGATTAGGAATTTTATCATGTAAATGTATTCTAAAATATGGTTTGTGACGTCCAATCCAGTTTGCAAATGATCGATCAATATAGATCAAGCTACTGTGCAACTAATCTCAGATTTATGGTTGTGTGTTTCCAGCAAGGTTCTAATGTAGTGTTCTCTTGTGGGAGGGTGCCACCAGACCTTCGACATCAGGCAAATCAGGACACACGAATGCACTGCCAGGAATACCGTAGGCCTCGGTGGCACTGCAGCTTTGGCTACCGTCACTCGCAGTATCAACACCCAGAAACAGGGCGTGATCTCGTCCCAGGGAGGCCAGGATGCGAGTCAGTCAAATCAGTACTTTGGTTCTTCCATACGGTACGTACGGTAACACTGATTAACCACTCTGGCATACGGTACCCCACATACTTTTGTATTGTCTATCATACAACTGTCTCCCACCATGATGACAGCTAACGAGCTTGTAGCTGCCAATCGGTTGGATGTCCGTCAGCCATTGCTACTAGTTTTTGGTGTTTGTCAACATTGGCAAAAGAACCGGCGAAGTCCCCAAAGGGCACGTTGCAGACACGAGTTGGAGCCATGCAATATCATGAGACCCAAACCAAACAATGGCAACACCCATTTGACTGGATATTGATGCAACAATCCTGCCAAGACGGACCCCAAACAAGTCAAGTAGGCAGCCGCACCCACCCCAATGATGCTCCAAAACAAGGCCAAATTGCCTTCGGTGCGAGACCCAGCAATACAGCGACCAAAGAAACTGCAGTGGTGGTCAAAATGACGGACACAGCGTTGACATGTGTTGCAATGAAAGTATTTGATGGAACCGTTAGCAGTCTCTTGTTGTTCCGTCACCAGAGTTTTTGTAGTGGTGGTGTTGGTGGGAGCTACAACAGGTTCTTCTGATTGTTGTGTGATGGTTTGGGTTTCGGTGGTGGTTTCAATAATGGTCGTGGTGGTGACAGTCTCTGTGGCAGTCGATTGGAACGTGTTGGTGCCAGATTCCGGAGTCTTTTTTCGTCTGCGAGTATCAGTGGTAGTATCAGGCTCTGCTTTACGCCAAACCAAACAACGGGTACAGTAAGTATCCTGACAATCTTTTTGCAGCGAGGGAAGATAGAGTGCGGAAGGTTTGTCCTCTTTCTTGGCGCCATCAGTCAGCCATTTGGCAATCGATGGAGGAATGGGATAGCAGGTTGTGGGAGTTCGTGGTACAACCCCGGGATCCACCAAGAGAATGGCGGCCAACAACAACATGGCCACCAAGGCTTCGCCGTAGATGAGAGAAAAAATGATCCACCAAGCCACTGGGTGTGTCTCAATGTCAAAGCCAATGGTCAAGGCAACCCCGTGCGTCAGACCCACGAGTATTCCAGCAATCACTGTGATCATGGTAATGCCACACAAGGTTTCATTGCGTTGGCTTTTGTAGCGAGGCGTGGGAAACGGTGGGAATTCGTCGATCGGAACCAGAGGCACCAGAAGACGATCCACACAACCACTGGAATCTTGGTTTGTATCATCCTCGGGAACCTCGTTATTGACAGAAGGAGGGTTGTGGTCTTTCTCGTCGATCATCATGCTGGTACCGTGGCAAGCCCATGGCAAAGAAACTAGAGTGACAGTGACAGTGCTCTTGCTTGGTTCTTCTTCGTTTGTCCGGCAAGCAAAGAATGGATCGAATCATGATACAGTAAGGTTAGAGATACAATCAATGAGTGACTGGTCATGACCTCGCCACCACCCACCACTCACTCCTCTTCCACACTCTTCCACTGTAAGTCTTCTAGAGTGGAGATCCTTCTTTTTAAAGGAGGCAGCGTCTGTTAAGCGTTTGGTCTTTTTACAGACATGTTTCTGACCACTGACCATAAAAAGTAATTAATGACCAAAGAGAATTTAAGTCTTATAAAATTTGAATAGCCTAAATTGCAGTCCTTGAGGGTTGGTCCTAACCACATTCATGTGCTTCGTACGTTCGCACAGGAAACACATTTATTTCCATTCCGCCTCGCGTATGTGTTTTCATTCCTATCCATGTGACACACATACGCGGTACGCGGTACGCGGAACACAAAAGAACCATCAAATCCCCAACTCTATCGGGGATAGTGCGAGATAATGAGTTCTGATTGGTCCAGGGCTAGCCACAGAAGGCTACCAATTTTCGAAACTCGCTAGCTAGAGTTGGGGATAGTGGGAGATAATGAGTTCTGATTTTCGAAACTCGAGTTCTGATTTTCGAAACTCGCTAGAGTTGGGGATAGTGCGAGATAATGAGTTCTGATTGGTCCTACGCGAATTCCAGCCAATTCCAAATTCACACGAACGGCGAACCGCAGCTCCACTTTTTTACTATAAACATTTTCTGCGGTTCGCCGTAGGTGTGAATTTGGAGGTCACCTTTCCAAATTCGGCAGTTAAATCCATTTATTTTGATTTGGCGAACGTACGAACGGCAGTTAAGCTGGATAGGACCAGCTCTGATGCCCTTTTACCTCTAATAGTCCTCTTCGTACATGTACAGCCTTTCACCTCCTCACTTCCCACAGCGTTCTTCGAGCAGTTTGGCTGCACAAACAACGGAATTGCTTCGAGCTGTTTGTTCGAGTTGCTTGTATCGCTGTTGTCACCCTTTCTCCCACATACTCGTACCGGTACGGTAGCTAGCTAGTCCAAGACATACATCTTTACAATGCCACCAACCATGGCCAAGAGCGCAGAGGCTGAGCATCGGTCCAACACTTCCAGGACAACTCGTTCAAATTCAAATAAAAGTCTGGTATCCGATGTGACCTGTCTAAGCACCGAGTTTTCTTCCGGTGCTTTCTTGAGGTCTAGCAACAATGATGCAACCACGACGGTCAGCAACAACTCCAGGGTCCCACCCTCACTTGGAGGCTCTTTTGTAGGTCTGGAAGACTCCAAGCACTCCACAACCAAGGATGCCAGCTGCAACTTGCCAGACAAGGTCCGAGTGCGGGAATCTGGCATGAGCATGAAGGGACAACTCCGTGACAGCCTCAAGAATATGGCCCAAGATTTGCTCTTGAAGCTGCCCTCATTGGGTATCTACGGCCGTCAGGAACAGCTTGGGCTGTTAGAACAAGCTTTCAAGACCCTTCTCCATGGCCGCGGCGGCAAGTCGTCTTTCAAGTCTTCACTGACTGCATCATCTACATCGAAAGGCAGTACCATGGGCAATCTGAAGGACTCAGCAGACCACGATGATACTACCTGTGCTACCGAGAAATCGGGATCTACAGCGGAGAAGAGCGTCCGATTCTCCCCGGATGCCAAAGGCGACGATCTTGATCATCACCTCGGCAAGCAGAAGCAAGTTGTTTGGGTCACGGGCATTGGGGGGTCTGGAAAGTCGTCCCTGGTCGCCGCTTTCAAGGATAAAGTACACAACATGGCTGGCAGCAGCAATAGTGCTTTCTTTGCCTCTGGCAAGTTTGAGTTTCATCAAAACCTAAAGCCGTACTCCGGAATCTCTCAGGCCATGACCCAGTTTTGCAATTCCCTCATGCTCTATTCTTCGGATAGTACGCTCCAAGACCTGGCAGCTCGGCTCCAAGACCAACTCACGCAATATCAGCTCCAAGTCTTGACGCAGTACTTGATCCCCAACATGCAGCGTGTATTGTCCTTGCAAGAAGCACCAGCAAATAGTATTATTGAAGAAGAGAGTCACCACCAAGAAGAACGACTGGTGGGTGCAGACGGGCCATCGTTGGAAGCATTGCACACACTCCAAATTGCCTTTCAGATATTTCTCCGAGCCGTATGCAGTATTCAGCCACTCGTCTTGGTTCTGGATGATCTGCAATCAGCCGATGTCAACTCTTTGGAGCTGATAGAGCAAATCCTCAGCGATAAAAAGAACCCCAACTTGCTCCTCATTGGACTCTATCGAAATGACCAATTGAACGAGTCCGACAAACTCGTCAAGGATATTGTCAGTAAGTGTCCACCATCCCAGGACAGCAACAACAACAATGACGATCACGCCAACAGCATGTACAGCGTCAGAACTACAACCATTGCACTGAATGAAGATAGTGACTTGGGAGTTACAGAGGTCAACCAATTACTCCAGGACTTTCTCAATGCTTCTGATTTTGCAGAAGAACAAGTTCTTGCTTTGGCCACCTTGGTACACCAAAAGACACAAGGACGACCCTTTTACGTTCATCAATTCATTTCCAATCTCGTCATGCAAGAGTCCTTTCAATACAATGTCACTACTTTGAGTTGGACGTGGGACTTGGAAGACATCCAAAGCAACATGGAGGCAACCAAGAACGTGGTGCATATCATGCAAACCCGCCTCAATCGACTCTCGAACGACAAGAAGGCCCTACTCAAGCGACTGGCATGCTTGGAATCGCACTTCTCATACGACATGTGTCGTCTAGTGGGTGCGCCTTTGGCCGACCCAGAAAGCATCGACGAATCTTTGACCGACTATGTCAGCCTCGGCCTGATCAATGAAATGGTGTCGGAACAGCGCATGGCGGATTCATTCCGTATGGAGGAAGAAGATGGAGCCGCTAGTGATGTTGCGATTGAGACGAGCCAAGGGGGGTTTAACGGCATTACGTTTTTCTGGGTTCATGACAAGATCCAACAATCGGTGATGGAACTGTTTATCACCAAAGAGGAGTTGAATAGAGAAAAGCTCGATATGGCAGAAAACTTACTGGAGAAACTCAATCCAGAGCAAATGAGCTCAGAGCTCTTTGTGGTGGCAAATCTCCTAAACGATGGATTGGAGTCACTTTCAGTGGACTTTTTGACAAACACGCGTCGCCTCGACTTTGCCAAATTCAACATGAGAGCGGGGAAGAAAGCTCTAGAAGCATCGGCATTCACTTCAGCTGCAAACTTTCTGAACGTCGGTATCCGTCTCTTGCCATCCGGAAGCTTTGATACTGACTACGAACTTGCGTTGGACTTGTATTCGAGCGCGGCTGAGGCCGAGTGCTATCGAGGCCGATACGACAACATGCAGCGGAGCATCGATGAGATAGTGGAGCGTAAATCGATTTCTCTGTTGGACAAGCGACGTGCTTACAATGCTCGCTTGGACAGTCTACAGGCAAAGGACTTGATCATTGAAGCTCGTGAGGAGTGCGTCGCTGTGTTGGCAAAGCTTGGTTGTCGATTCCCGAAAATCGCGTTGACCCCTCGTATCATTGCCGGCCTTGTCAAGACAAAAATGGCCGCCAAGAAATTGTGCGAGAAAGACGTGAATGAATATGCACTTCTAAGCGATCCAAGAATCCTTTGGATCATGGCTCTGCTGGACAAGCTCATGACTTTCGCGTTCCTCACGGAATCGCCACTGGTCCCTTTGATTGCCATAAAAGCAATCAAGTACACACAGAAGTATGGTGTTGGAATTCAGTCCGCTCCAATGTTTGCATTGGCTGCCTTCCTGGTGTGCGGGCCAATGGGCGACTACAAAACTGGGAAGGCGTTAGCAGACTTGTCTTTGAAGGTGCTGGGTCGTGCTGAGTCTCAACGTGCAAAGGCCAGGACCTACATGTTCGTGTACGGTTTTGTGTATCACTGGTCAGAAGCCGCGCAACCGTGTCGTTCCAAACTTCTGGAAGGTTACAAAGCTGGGCTGGCTGTGGGCGACCTGGAGAACAGCTGTTGGAATTTGTCGCACTTTCTGCACATGGCCTTTTTCTCAGGAGTATCCTTGCCGTCGTTGCACTTGGACGTGGTTGCTTATGGTGATCAAGTTGAAGGTTTCTCACAGGCAACTGCGAGAGACCTGTTGCGGGGCTTGCAACATGCGGTGGAAGTACTGATGGGGACAGCTTCCTCGAGGGTTCGCAACATCGTGGGCGAGGAAAAGTCCATGGTATCCGTCATAACAGATCTCAAATGGGAAATGTATACCTCCTTTTTCTTGGGAGATTATGCTCGGGTTGCGCAGATTATGAATGAAAACAAGACCATAATGGATGGCTTTCCTGGCACGTACGGCCACGGCACTCAATGTTGCTACATTGGGATGAGTTTCATGCTACTGGCCAGGACAGAGAAACGTGCCAGCGCAAAGTACAAGCGCGAAGCAAAAAAGTTTGCGAAGGTGGTAAAGACCACGGTGGACAAAGGGGTAAGTTCATTTTTCGCTTCGATGCACCTGATAAATCTGTGTCCCAAGTCTCACGCGTGTGTTCTTATCGCTCCGTAAAAAGTGCCCCAACGCAACCCATCTCGAATCTCTTTTGGATGCTTTCCTGGAGGCTTCCAAAGGCAAGGAGCCGAAAGCTTGCAAAAACTTTGAAGTTGCTGCACTGCTGGCTGGCCGAAAGGGTTTTCTACAGGATCAAGCGCTAGCTCAACAACACCTTGGTGAGTACTACCTGACACTGGGCAAACGTGACGAGGCCGGTTATCACATTGGCGAAGCCGTGAAGCTCTTTGAGATTTGGGGCGCCCAAGCCGTTGCGGACATGCTGAAGGAGAAATACGTCCAGCTGCTTGCACCAGTTCCATCTGTTTGCGTTGAATAAGTCACATCTGGTTTGGAATAGCGAGGTCAAAGGAGCAATAGGGGGTTGAGTGGCAGGATTGGCTCGGGATTGCCTGTCAATGGAGGACGTTCTCTAGCTAGCTAGCCACCTAACAGAGGAATTGGGGACCTAGTTTGATCTGGTGTGCCTCATCTTTACACTACACTGGAGAACCGCAACTCGTACAACAAGACTTGGAGAAGCAACGGCACTTCTCCCGGGGGTAAACGGGCGATCGTTGGTGCCTCAGCTACATGGGCGAAACTGCCACTCAACGTTGGCAGAACTGTCCCAGGATTGAGAACACGCAGGTTATATCACCCCATTGGAATCGTTCAATCGCCGCCACGAGGGAGTGCGGGGGTGGTACCGGTACAATTTCCCTGCTCAAGCTGTCCGTCTGGCACGGGTCTCGAAGGCAAGGTACCTGAAAACTAACTGAAAGATACAGCCATACAGGTGTACTGCAAGTAAATAGCTACCGCTATGAGTATTTGCAACCATGACTTCACCTTTGAAAATTCGTGGCTCTATAATGTCCGCGATTTGCCATTGTGCGCCGTTGTATGTATGGTTCCGCAAGCTCCTGGCTGGCCGCTGGCCGTAGAGCTCGGCTTTGGTCCTAATAGCCGTCCTAATTTACGTATGTACGTACCGGTACACCGGTACCGGTGGTCCGGTGGTAGAGATGCATCTAGATGCATCTTGCATGATAATGTATGTTCACTTCAGTCGTCTGGTCGTCTGACCATTGTTGGCTCTTTAGCTGCAAGGTTGTGAAACCATTCTGAAGCTTTGAAATTTTTCAAACAGTTTTATTTTCTCATTTTTGTTTTTATTTTCTCATTTCTAGTTTCTCAAGTTGAGAAACTAACAGTTTATTTTCTCATTTGATTTAATAGTTTCTCACTTCTGCCGCATGTTTAATAGTAGTTTCTACTATAGTTTCTCATTTCAAAAGATAGTTTCTCATTTTGGAAAAATGATAAACTAACTTTCTCATTTGAGAAACTAGTTTCTCAAATGAGAAACTACTTTCTCATTTGGGAAACTGGCAAAAAGGATTTCAGTCATGCTTCCGGACCTTGCTGGTCTTTGATCTTGATAGTCGAATGCACGAGTACCCATGCTGCTCTGCCACGGTTTGTTTCGAAAGTCAATAAAACCTTCTTTCCCTACTCTAAACCCCCGTTACCTATGTAAAACCTTCTTTGCACATCTATCTTCTCGAAGGAGAGTCACAGTGACTGTGAAAAGGGCACTGCTCCGGACATCTTGTGGTCTTTTCAATTTGTGCCTCAATTTTACACCCTATTTTTGGCTGTTGGCTGTTGGCTGTTGGCCAAGGTCCTTTCGATAGACTCCGATAGTCAAATCGACCACACACGACGACCAGCTCGATGGCAATTGAGCAGCTATGTATGGCTATTGGCTACTAGTACCGCGCCAAGTTGTTTGATGGCCAACCAAAGAAAAACCGCGTCTAGCTGGATAGCTCGGCTGAGCCCAAGTTTTGCTTTCGGATCTCTCACAATTTTTGAAGCCAACCAACTATTTCTCCACATTCATTCATAATTTTCTTTGGCAACTAGCCAGCTAGTACCGGTATCAATCAACCATGACAGCAAGCAAGACCCTTTACGAGAAGATGGGCGGAGACCTTGGAGTCCAGCACTTTATGGAAAGTTTGTATGAAGAAACCTTGAAAGATGAAGTGATGAAGCGTCTCTTTGCGAATTCCTCCATCCCTGTGTTGATCAGCCATCAGATCAAACTGTACCGTGTTTTGTTTGGGCCCGAAGAAGAGCGCCCCGACCCTGACGTCGTTGTGGATTACATGTTGATGACACATGCCCGGATCTTTCGGGATTTGGGCTTGAACGAAGACCACTTTGATACTATAGCCACGTGCTTTGTGGAGGGTCTTCAAAATATGCAAGCGGAGCAAGATGTGATCGACGAATGCCTGGTACTTTTGGGGCCCCTTCGTGAAGTCTTCGCCTATGGAGCCCAGCTCGCGGGGGAAGAGAAAGAGTTGACCCCGGAAGAAAAGGAAAGCTTGCCAGAAGCAACCGCCGGTACCATGCGCTCGAATGAGCCATCTCTTCTCCCTCAGGCGCCATCCATCAAAGTACCGGGCTGGCTTTCAGGGGTACTTCGAAAGCACTCTCAAGAGTCCAATGTGAGGGCTTGGACTTGTGCCCTTACCACAACCTTCGGAGAAGAAGACCTTGAAGTTGCGGATACCTACCTGAGCATGCCTTACATGCATCTTCATGTGTACAACTTGGTGCTACTCCAATTGGCGTTCCTTCCAAAGAGCAAAGAACAAGAGAAGCATCGCCTGCTCAAGATGATAAAGTACCCCCAAGGAGAACGGAATGATCCAATTTGCCTTGTTCTTTGGAAACGAATGATTGACGGGTTTGCAAAGACTTGCAAGGCCATGCAGTTGGACGAAAACAAACTGATCAAAGCCTCGGACAGACTACATTCGTACAACAAGTACTTCCCCAACAGCGAGTCGCCGAAGATCGTGGGAGGTGTCAAGGTCCCGCATTTGCTCACTGGTCAGATATCCCACTTCCAAGTGGTGGAAGCTTCAGAGGAAGATGAGATCACAGTTGCAAGCTCGGAGCTCACCGTTGCAAGCTCGGATTGTTCGTCTGAAATGTTCAAGCAAGAAAAGCGGCGCAGTTTCATCAAACCGAGCACAAGTCTGGGTCCGAAAACAAGCTTCGGACCGAAAACAAGCCTGGCGCAAAGCATGCTTCGCTGGTTCAAGGGTAATAAGAGTGGGCGGTTGTCGCAAAGTAGTAAGAGTCAGTCGGTGTGAGAGTTTTCAATACTGCTTGGCTTGGCCAACAACAAAAACACGAAGTTCCCGCCTCATGATGACAACATCGCATTCGGATTCTACGCGCATGAAAGGTCCGATCTACCTCTCTGTTCCAACTACACACTTCATTAGCAATCTTTAGGTAGCCTTGGAAATGCTTAGGGCATTCTCTAGTACTTCTCGTCCTAAAACTCGTCCTAAGTTTAGGACCATTTTTTAGGTCGAATTGGCAATCTCTAATAAACTGGTTCTAAAACCAGACTTATTAAGATAGGACAAGTGCGAGTTTCAGTCTCTAAAAAGCTGGTCTTAAAACTCGTCCTGCATGCACCTCTGCTCTATTGGCCTATTAAAGTGGTCTTGATAGTGAGGCTAGCAGCTTCCCACACAGCACCTCCGTGGTTGTATCATGTATTTGTTATCTACTAGCTAGCGCTAGCTACACCGCCATGGGGGTGCGAGCGTACTACCTGTAGCGGTACGGCAGTTGTGAGTTGATGGCTCAGTCTTGTTAGTCTAACTCAATCTTGTTTTAACTGGGTGGTCGTGATGTCATCGGAGACTCAAAAGATTTAAAGGAAATGTTAGGACCAGTGTTAGGACGAGTCGAAATAATTCGTCCTACTTTTCTGAAATAAGACGAGAAAATAAAATTCGTCCTAAAAATAGGACAAATTTGAGTTAAAGATTGCTTTTGTCCTAAAAATTCGTTCTAAAATAGACTTAGAACGAATTTTAGGACGAACGAATCCACTAGTATATGCCCTTATAATTACATAATACTTTATGACAACACCTCTTCTTTGCTTGAGCCTGGCCCCCGGCTTCAGCAACTAACTTCTCTACTATTTTAAAAATAGCTACTGTAACTCAGCACCAGCTGGATAGATAGCTAAACTAGCTACTACCGGAAGACCCCATGCAAATAATAGGTATGCAAATATAGCAATAATAATGAATGTCAGTCTAGAATTGAATTCGATACATCATTCGATTGAAGATTGAATCATTCGATTCGACTTCTCATCACTCGACTGAGAGTTCTTCGAACTTCCTAAAGATGTGAATTTTGAATTTTGAAACAACATATTTCTGTAAAAATGAGGGCGAACTACAATCAACCGAACCAACACAACCCAATGCCCAAGAAGACAAGAAGAGACCATGTCATTGCGACGCTCGCACGTCCTTGGCAATGAGGAAAGGGGCAAGATGCTCCTTGGTGTCAATCAGACGTTGACCTCGTATCGGACTACAACAACCACCCCAAAGAAAGAAACAAGCAAAGACAAACCATTGGACCGTGCACCACCACCGTGGCATTCGGTGGCCTTTGTGGCATGCATCACGGCACTGTCCCTGTACCAATGTGTTTCTGCCATTCATTCCCTCGATAAGGTGGCCGTTTTGGATACTTTCACCCATCGAGTCTTTCCCGAATATGTTTCGTTGGCCCTGCTGGGTTGGGTTCGACTGGCCATTGCCATTTTGATTTGGGTTGTCTTTGTCTCGACTGTGACATCGGATGGATGGATTCAAACCACAAGATACCGAGCAAAATCCAAGCTGCAAAGTGGTGTACCAATTGTCATGAAAGGAAGCCGAACCCTCTTTCCATTCACTGCCTGGTGTTGGATTCTGCTGGGAATTAGCTTTACCAGTCATGCTCTGATTGCACTGACAGTGGCCTATAATGATAATAATCAGGGAGACCTTCCATCGACTCCTCTCTGGATGCTCCGCGCCATTCTGCTGATTTGGGAAACCACCGCCCCCTGTGCCTTTCTGGTCTCGGCCGTGATTCGCTACGTCATTTGGGACATGGTCCTTCAGGGTGGCCCCGAACGGACGGTCCAACTCAAACACCCTCGCAATCTCATGTCCCACAACATGAACTCGATCTTTGTAGTGACCGAAATTTGTCTCTTGGGAGGCCTTCCAGTCCGCCTGTCTGAAGTATACTTGGGCTGTCTCTACGGGTCGCTCTACATTGTGATTGCCTGGTCTCTCACGAGGTACTGGACCTCCCAAGGTCCCCATTTCCTGTATTTCTTTCTGGACACGACACTGGGGTACACCACTACCATTTCCATTGCGGCCTTGACCGCAACACTGTGTCTCTTTTACGCATTGCTTTCCGTGTCCCTGGTGGCTTTGAACCAGTTGACAGCAATGCTGCCAGACAATTCGAGCCAATTGTTACTCCTGTGTCACATTGCTTTTGTTCTAGGTGTGGCTAGCTTGGTTTGTCGCTTCCACGATTAATTGCAATTGGAAGCTAGCTAGCTAGTAGACACACTGGAAAGGGTCAAGCATGGTGGGATGAGAACAAGGAAAAGAGAGAAGAAAGCACACAATTTGCTTTGTAAGATCTAAAGATAGCTATTACTCCTACTCCAGAAAACAAGTCCCTGTCATAGCATTCCGGCAGATTGCTGTCGATAATCGAAAGAGTTGCATGAGGGTGAACTCCATGTCTTCCCTCCTGAGTGAATTGTGATCATCTGCATACCCGGTAGTAGCGCCAAAAATTCAATGGCTTCTCCTGACCGCCTCGTAACGCGTTCTCGAGCTGTGTCTCCTGCGTACCGGTAGCCCCTACATGGAGCCTTGTTGTTGAATTTTTTCATTTATTCGTTCATTCATACATCTCCCGGTACATCAAGAACCTGTGGTCTTGGGACCTGTACTCGTGCTTGCCAATCCACATGTACATTGTCGTCTTTCAATCCTTGTCCCCATTTGTTGGTCATCATTTCCCGACTGGTGGCCAGTTTTTGCTGCCCGATCCACGTGGCATCGTCCGCCAAGCGCTTTTGGCATGCGCTCTTCCAGTCGTCCCATGACGGCAATGTACCGGTAGTTGTGGTGGTACTAATATTACACGTCTGATAGACATCGTGCAACGACTCTTGTTTCGCTTGCGGGCTCAAATTCAAGGCTCGGTGGAGAATGGTAGCATAGAGTTCAATTTCTTGCACGAGAACACAACACAGTTTTTGAATGGCGGGGATGGACAAGGGGGAGGGTGCAAAGTCGGCACTGCCATGGGTGATTTCGCGTTGGACGTCTTTGATGATTCCCGCGCCACCTAGAAATTTGTCGAGATGCAACAAATCTTCCCATTCCTGTTCGGTTCGAATCGCCATGATTTCCTTGTCGGGATAGCGAAGCATGGTTTCCTTGGCATAATAGTGATAATTGAACTCCATATGCGGAGCACTGCCCGAATTGGCGGGACCATTGCCCGTGACGACGGAGCGGGCAATTTTGCGACATTTCCATTGTTGTGCCACGGTGAGATTGGCGGCAAAGTAACTGCCATTGACCCAGGGGGATGCCACGGATTGGGCAAAATCTTCCATGGCCGCTGATGGAAAGCAGGTTCGGAATAACTGATAGGTGGGTGTATGGGGTTTGGTCAATTTTCCATTCTTGTGCAATTGACAGGCCCACGGGAGTAGTACCTTTTCTTGGAGTAGATGTGTGGGACAGTTGTCAGGGTGGCTATACCGATACGTGCTAATGATGCGATCAATGGGATTTCGTACGGTAATCAAGTAGGTTGTCACTCTGGGAAAGATGGTATCATTGTAGGCCCACATGTGGTAGACATCTTGAATGAGTTTTCCCGTGAGAGGAACGGTGCGTTGATCGAGTGTATTTTTGCCACAGCAGCTTCTGTGCAACACTTTTTGAGGATTCCTTGGATCCTTGAAACTCTTACAGAGCACTTTGGTAGCTCTACGCAGGGTAGAACCGGCAGCCTTGCCCACATGAATCAGGAGGATGCTGCGATTGGTGCCCTCGGCGTGGATTATGGGTTGGGGTTGATTCACATGGTGATAACCGGTACCATCCGTAGTAGTGCTGGTAGTCAAGTCATTTAGAAAAATCGTCAATTGGTCTTGAGACATAACCACTGGAAGCAGTTCTCGTAGCGACATTCCCAAGCACAACGTCAAGGCGATAATGGTTGCTAGCTTCCATGCTGGCACTGCCAAGGTAGTGTTCAGAGGCTGAGATACCTGCGACAAGCGACTTCGTTTCCCATGGCCGCTGCTAATTGTACTAGAGCCACTATTGGAGCTGCAGGGGCAGGGAAAGCCTCGGCTGCCACTAGAAGATGAAGCAGAAGCAGGAGCAGAGCTGTGTTTCTTGAGGTTTAATTTTCTGACCATGGTGCCAACAGTTTAGTAGACTATGTATGTGTTATCTCCTCGTCTGCCTTGGCTTTCTTGGGCTGTCATGTCGAACCTCGAAGATGAGATGGTGGTAGGAACTGGCAAGATCGTGACAAAATGGTAGGTCCACTGCCCGGTACTGGATCGATGTGCCGCCGTACCGGTACCGGACCAAAGATCGAATAGGGAGCAGGCTTTTTGAAATTTTCTGACTCGACTCCCACGGGAGCTTGTACGAAAATGGGTGTCTTGCCGTGATACAGTACGGCGCGCCTGTCGTTTTGACTTTTGTCAGTGGACGAAAACACCTTGCTTCGGTATGGGACAGTCCAGTCTTTGGCAAGTGTATCTTTTTGGATGTTCCGGTTCCAAAAAAGATCTCCACAAGAATCAAAGGAGCTTTGGCGAAAGGTAGCAATGAGCTAGATTCCTGGAGGGATCATAATATCATTTGTTTCGCATCCAACTTACTTGCTTCCTTCCTTATCTTCAGCTACCGCCGCAGACTGCAAAAGAAACCATGACAAAGATCCATATGATTGGTAGGCTCTTGTCCTACATCTTTCTCCTCCTATCAGCCAAGGGAAGCTACGGTCGGTCTCTTCAGAAACAGACTCAAGGCTATGGTCGGGTTCTTCAGGATCAGGCTCTTGCGGCCTACGAAATGGAGGTGGCGGCGACCTACGGCTTCGACGTCAACGGGACGGCACCAGAGACGCTGAATATAGAGGAAATACAGGAACTCTTACGTCTGACAGAGATTTATTACAAGCGCGTCTTTGCCAGTGGGTTCTCTCAAACTTACCAAGATGTTTTGGTTACGTACAAGTCTCATGATTGGCAATGGACCCAGGAAGTTTTGGCAGTGACCTTTGATGCCAAAATCAGCTTTCGTCGCGTGGAATTTGTCCCGCTGCCTGCAACAGATTTGGTCCTCAACGCCTTGACCAACGTAATCTCTGAAGCATATATACAAGGCTATGTCATGCAAGCCCAGCCTCCAGAACTATTCCTATGGTACGTGTAGCAAGTCGACATGACATTGTATGATCGTTTGAAAGGCAATCATGTTGCTGACTGTGCCTTTGATCAACCGTGACACGAACAGGGCCAACTCCACCAGTATGTCGGCCATCGCTAAGGTTGTGCCCACTCCATTCCCAACGGAAGAGGTAGGTTACAGTTTTTTTGTTGATTGTCTCAAAAGGAAGCGCGATGTTGGTCCATTCTGATGTTGACAACAAAACCTTGTAGCCGGTGGCTGCACCGACTCGTGCTCCCGTGCCTGCTATGGTCAATGATGTCGTCGTTGCTGCCACTTCTTCTCCCTCCCAGCTCTCTACCGTTGCTGTCACTTCTTCTCTCTCTCAATCCTCACAATCGATTGATGGCGTCGCTACCGTTGCTTTCACTTCTCCCCCCTCTCAATCCTCACAATTGAATGATCTAATACCTGCACAGGAACAAACCGCGTCCTCGGGTACGGGCCCCTCTCAATCTTCACCCTTGAATGATCTCCAGGTCCCACCCACGTCGTCGGGAACAGGCCCCACTGAATCCTCGCCCTTGAATGATCTTCAGGTCCCACCCGCATCCTCGGAAACAGGTGAAGCGGCCTCCGAAACAGTCGGTGCGACTGAAGAAGACAACGTCGACAGCCCTTCCGAGGAAACCACTGCAATCAACGAAAATTCATCAGCTGATGTCTTTGCTGTCACGAGCACATCCTCTTCCCAAACTGAAGAAGATGAACAAATAGGATTAGAAATGCCGGAAGCCACGGGAGATGCATTCGGCTCCCCGTTCGAGCCAACAAAGAGCGAAGCTTTCATTGGGGACACTGACAAATTTGCCTCCTTGGTTGCAACAACAACTGTTGACGAATTCACAGCACCCAACCTCTTCTACTGGATGGTGGCTATCCGTTTCATGTATCTTCTGGTGCAATTGGCTCTTGGTAAATGGAGCCGCCCTTACCAGGCATCGGAAAAGAAGGTTCATCTTGCCAGCTACTGGGTCAACCTGTCAATCCAAGTGCCAATCTTGGCGGTGCTGGCTTGGGCTATTCTTGCCCTTAGTGGGGATGATTCAGAAGTTGTCACTGCAGGGATTCAAACGTTTTCACATTCAGCGATGGCCCTATTGAGCGTCTGTGGCGTGGAACTTTTTCTTCGCGGCCATGAGATGAACAAGGTACTATTCGCCAATCGTGTTGTTTTCATCGCCACAATGCTCTACGTGATGGAAGAGGACAGCTCCAATATGAAAGCTCCACTGGATCTGATCATGTTTGGGACAATTGAAGCTTTGGGAACTTGCATCGAACTTTCCTCACAAGTTCTAATGATCTACTACCGATTCTGGAGCGACAGCCAAATCGAAGTCCGCGACAGCATTCGACCAAGAGTTTCCATTGTGCTTCAGCTGTGTCTGAGTCTCGGTTTCTTTCTGAAAGTCGCATTCGTCGTCGTATCGGTGGTGTGGTACGTCCTGAAATTGGACGACCTCAACGGATCGAGCCTCATTTGGATCGTTCCTTTGGTTCGTATCGTGCAAGCCCCACTTCTGGTCCGATCGTTCCATCTCCAGCTTCTCCTGTTCAATCAAGTGGCAACAGCAAGCCAACGTGATGAAGTGATCACAAAAGAGATGGTAGTTGAGTTTGGCCCTGATGAGGAGATGAGTCAGGAGGACGTGTAGCTAAAGCAGCTTTGACACTCTTGCCTTGGAAGCAATGAAGATTGGCCTGGAAGACCGTTCATCCGTTCCGGCCATCCTGTAAAGCTACTGTAGCTCCATAAACGCACGAACAGAACCTTGCATTTCTGTTATTACGACAGGTAGAACTGGCACCAGGTACACTGATTAGAATCTCTTCCTGCCCAGCTCCGTTCCTACAACATGTCAGGACGGCTTTCCACGCCTTACCAAGAATAGGGAATAGAATCCAATCTCGCAGTTCTGTTCATAACTGCAAGGTAGGAGTAGCACCAGGTGCTAAAGGACGTGTACCCACGCTGAGCAGATATCTTGCTCGCTCAATGTCATGCTGTATGTGGCTTCAAAACCAAGCAGATGGGATGCAACGCTCGCAAGCTAGCTATTGTGCTTGCTAGCTGGTACTCGGTAACATGTATGGTAACACACAACTCTGAGATGCATGACTAACTAGGTTCCTTGGTGCCGATAAAAATGGTGCAGCATTTGCCCCCGAGGTGCTTTGCCCCACTAGCTAGAGGTGCAGAATGTTGCCGCCGGGGTTGCGCGCCCTAGAGAGGTGCAGAATCTGCCGCCGAGGTGCTTTCCTTGGAGGTGAGCATGTTGCCACTGCCACCGAGGCGCGAGCTACCGAGGTACGATGTACAGCATTTTGCCGCCGAGGTGCTTTGCCTCCCTCTTAGAATTTGTTGCGTTTGGTACCATACCGGTATCATGTGGGTTATCTTCATCGGCTGAAAGCAAAGGGTCACAGGGCTACGGTAGAGGGCGACGTACCAGCAGGAGCGAGTGGTGGCACAACTAAAAACATTATTAGCAACTGGGTTATGACGGTACAAGGTGATCCAGCAGCAAGAATACCGGTAGCAGCCGAGCACAAGCTGGGCACAGACAGGCCAAAGCATTTTACCGCCTTCGCCTCCCCCCACCTCCGCTGCGGCCATGGTCTGGCGATCTGTGCCCGTCAACACCAGATTCAGTTCTAGATCTCTTTGAGGGTTGGCGATCGCTACGACCACCTCTGCTCTCGCCGCGATCACCATCTGGAGACGGTGAACGGCCTCGTTTGGCTCTGCTTCGGCCCCCTCCTCCGGGATTTCGAGACCCCTCCCATCTTCCCTCCAACCCTCGAGGTTCCTCCTCATCGTTGCGTCTACCGGCGGAATCTGCAGCCGGACCCCGAGCCGGAGCCGAGTGGGTCTCGGCTCGCCCCAGGCTTCCCAGAAGCGGTGCACTGTCGCGTCCGCCTCTCGTGTCGCCATCTCTGCGACGATCCGCCTCGCGCGATGTACCTCCACTTCGACGGTCGCCACCTCTGTCACGTGCTGGCACCTCCCCAGTTCCTGTTCTTCTCGGGGGCGGCTCAAAGTTTGGTGCGTTTGCGTTCAAAGCGGGGGACTGGGTGCACCGGATAGTTGTTGAATACGTGCAATTTCGTTGAGGATGTAATTGTTGAATGCAGAAGATGGTGTGGGATTGGATATGATGAACTTACACGTCGGCCATCAGGCCCTGAGCCCCCACGCCCATAATCTCGAGAATCGGAAGGGCGGCCGCGACGGTCTCTTCCACCAAAGCGGTCGCGACGATCGTCGCCCCCAATTTCCGCGTTGATCTTCTCACTCTCCATTTTCATGTCATCAAAAAGCTCTTGTGCTTTCCTCTTGCGGAGCTCCTGCGCTGCCTTCTCGGCTTTGACACGAGCTTGTACCATGGCTGCATCTTCCTCCTTCCAGACACCGTCAGCTCGGGCTTTTGTCAATTGCATGAAGTAGGCCTGCGCCGCAGACCGAATATCTGGCAAAGCACTGTTCCCATCCGACTTTAGAGGTTCTAGAACCTCGAACAGCTTATTCCCCAAGTTCGGGCGAGTTGGGAATACCTCCACAATCCGAGACAAAACTATCAGAGAAGCCCTGGTGTGCATGTACTCCGATGATTGCAGGCATCCTAGCGCCGCTGCGCCAATGGCCATGTGCCATCTCTCAAACCGCAACCGGTACTGTTCGAATGTGACTGGATAGAGATTTCCTTCGCTTGTGGTTCCGCCTTCCTCAACTGGGTCTACCATGTAGGACCCAGGCTTTCCAGCTACTTCGTCTTCAAAGGCCTTCTCGTCGTACCGCCATCGGCAAACCATTTTCCAAGTTTCTAGAAGCAAAATTGAGAGGTTAGCCGCTTCCCCTTCGGTCACCCCAAAGAGGGAGCTTGACAGCACGGAAACAAGCTCGTCCAAATAGTGAAGCGTGCTGAATCCAGGCGTTTCACCTTTGTGCAGCAGAGAGACGAACTGAGCACAATACATGGCATCGTCAGGGCCTTGCATAGAACGCGGGAAAATACATTGCGACAGGAACGTGTTCACTGCAGAAACAGAGACGTCTTTCTTTGGGAAGAAGCCTGCGGCGGCACCCTTCATCTTTTCCTGGATCAGGGCGACTCTCTCCTTTTGTTCACTGATCTGTGATGAAAGTGTTGATGATACGTTCTTCAGTCGTTCGATTTCTTCCATTGGGTTCTCCTGCCTTCCACCTCCAACACTGCCAGGTTGCAGAGAAATACCGCCACCGACTTGGTTCTTTCTTTGGCTGAGACGCTCGATCTCTCTAGTCACGCGGGTGATTTCAGCGTTGTAGATGTTTTCAGGGCACAACAGGTCGTACAGTGTGTGAACAAAGAAAATCTCAAAGAAGTCCTGGCTGATATTGTCCCAGGTACTTTCCTTGTGCACCAAAGACTTGTATGATTCTCTGGTTTCCTCCGTCATTGCAAAGGATAGCACAGCGCTTGTATCGGTCGCATTGGCATACTCGTCCTTTTCAGCAGCTCGCACGAGTGGCCTGCACAACATCCAAGCAGTAGCCATGTCAATTCCGTAGACTTTGACTAACTCGGTCAACTTGGGCAAAGACGTCGCAAATTGCATGATCTCATCCGAAGGCATTTTTTCTGTTGTCGTCTTCTCTTTCCCGTTCTCCCCGTCGCTTTTCTTGCTCCCGCCCAAAGGCTGCGCCAATTCAGATGACTTGGTCATAAAGTCCAACAATGTAGTTATCACTACTTGGGTAGTATCGAACAGACTCCCAATCAGCTTGACTGGTTTGGGGCGACCACCTCCGTCTTCAAAAACAATCTTCGATCTCACTTGTGCCAACAAGATCAGCAAGGAAACGCCGATATCCTCGCTTTGAAGCACAAATCGTAGCTGCCGACTTGCACGTAGATTAAACTTGTCGACGACACCAAAGGTCATGGTTTCTCTCTTCAAGAGTGTTGATCCCGCTCGTCCCTCCAGCTGTGCCAAAGACAATGATGCCGCTGGCGAATAGTCAGCAAAGCTCCACCCCCCTGTTGTCTTTAGTAGGCTTCTGAGCACCCCCAACTCTGTGACATGCCCACTTTTCAGTCGCCGCATAACGTAACATACAATCCCTCGAAACTCCACAAACGGATACCTCTCATAAAACGATCCAATGAAGGATTCCATCGATTGTAACCACAAGGCAACGTTGATCCCGCCCTCTGTAAATCATAGAAAGGTGAATTGCAAGATCATCCGATACAATTCATTCAACGCCATGCCAACGTAACAGTGGCAAGTTTTGTCAAGGTGATTGGTGCATTATTTCCCGATTGATTTGCAAACACGGACACACATACGTCAGGTCATTGAACAGTATATTGGCGAGGAAAATAATAATGGAGAGCATTTGAATAGGTCAGTCGTCGTTCTCTGCTGCTTGATTTCATCACCATACCTTTCGAGCGGCTTCGATCTCCCTCGTTGTTTGCACTTCCGCAGAGTCGACTGAGCATGCAGAATCCCAAAACGTCGAGTCCCAAGGGTGTAACAAATTGTAGTGCGTCGACCATTACGGTCACCAGGTTGTCGTAGGATTCGATTTGATTCAGAACAGTTGTGAACATTACCAGCGGGCTGGAGTGGGTTACTTTTCCGATTTGTCGACAAGCTTCCCGAATGGTATCTTTTGACAGCCGCTTCAAAACGTATCGAGCATCTTTGCCAGCATGCATTTCACTCTCTACGAGTACTAACGGTTTCTTCTTGTCACCGAATAGCTGCAGGCCGGCCTTTTCCAGTCCGACTCCACGCCAATCTCGATATAGTTGATACCGTGTTGTGTATGGGAAAAGCTTCAGAATGGACCAAACCTCCAGAGAGAGGGATGGGCTGGCTGGGAAAAGTGAGAGCGAAGGTAATAGAAAGGACTCAATGAAGGAATACAAAGTTGTTGACGGCGACAGATTTCCCTCTTCTGATGATCCATCTCGTGTCAGCAACGCGCGCAATAATCGACATAATTGACAGTACAAGGTTGGTCGGGCCACAATGCACCCCGAGTCCAGAATACACAGCAAGGGCCCGGACACTTTTTCTACCACACTTTCCGCTGTGGCTTCCTCGTCGCTATTACCATCCTTCGTTGATGTTGTTGTCGATTCCTCTTTCTTCTTGGCGGGTAGCGTCGTCGACAAAGGCTTCACCAAGTCGGATGGAGGTTTTTGGCAATACTTGTCGCATAGCGGAATCAGTTCTGCGTGGATCCAGTCGCAGACGGCTGATCCCAGTGGTTGATAGAGTGTCAAAATCTGCTTCAGTTCATCCCGATTCGGAAACAGAACTTGTACCAACTTCCATTGTCGCTCTTTCAGCAGCATGTTTAATAGTTGTATCCGATGCGTTTGCTCCAATTGTTTCAATAGGTCTGCGAGCTTGGCCTGATTCTGGGCATCTCGTTCCTCTTCTTTCTTCTTGGAAGCTGAGGATCCTCCTAGGCTCACCTTTCCCACGCTCCTCACGCGTTTTCGTTCAATTTGCGAAAACAGAGGGAATGTTTGGCCCAACGGGGTTGTGATGGGTTCTAGGTAGAGCGACATTTTCGCCACCGGGAGAATCCCAGGCTCTCGAATGCAGAGAGAAGCGATCGTCTGCAATATCCGTTGGGTCTGGTTGGGATCGGCGGCGGTGTGTTTTAGCTTGAAGGCCATGAGCGCGGGTATTTTATCAATCGAGACCTCCTTGAGCCACCCCAGTTCCATGGGTTCCTTCTTTTTGTGTGAGTTGGTCTCTTCGATAACCACGTCCAGTGCCAGATCCAAGATCCGATTGGGGTCGACATGAAACGTGCCAATGATTCCTTTGAGCGCGGAGAAATCGTGTTTGACGAGGGCTTCCAGCACCTTGGAGAAGCCTTCGCTTTCTTCTTGTAACAGATTGAACTTGTGTTGTCGATAGTTCCTAGTGTTGAGCATTCTCAACTTCTTCATGAGATCCTTCTCCGAATTGACCAGACCCGACTTTTCCAGTAGGACGGGGTCCAAGTGGCTCTGTAAGTGGATCTTCAGGGAGTTCTTCTTGCTCACAATAGCAGCGTCTTCTCCCTCTTCTGATGAACTCAAAATGGATTTGAGAATCTTGGCCAGAGAATCTCGGCTGCTGGGCCCAGCAACGGCGTTCCCTCCATTGACAGCTCCCTTTTCTTCTCCTCCTTTGACGGCGTCCTTCTTTTCTTCTTCGTCCACTATCGAGCTGCTCGCCAACCAAAAGGCGTCGACCAAGTGCTCCTCTAGGTCGGGATCATTATCATCTGTGGGCTTCTGGAAGAGCAGCTCGGACAGTGTGTTGGCCACGGAAGTAGAGCTTTCTTCAGACGTTACACCAACTTGCAGGGCTTGCCATAGCAGCTGACGTCCCACGGGAATTTTGCCAGCTACAAACGCAGAACGAATGTCGTCCTTGCTGGGCAGTGACATGATCTTGCTTGATGATGGTGATGATGAGAAACACTTTCCTCTTGCTCAACGCCCTTCAGAAAATAATCAATCGTATTGCCAGCTCCAAGCCTTTTGCCACGTCTAGCTAGAAATTTAAACGTATGGATAAGTCAGTACCCAGTCGAGCGATTTACCCAACGAGATTGACAACAGGAGCAATACTATCTTTTCCCTCTGCCGCTGCTTCGGGTTGTGAAGACTTGGCCAAGGAGCCATTGTCGTTGTCCCTTTTGGATATACTGACGACGGACGGACTACGGGATAATATTAACCCTACCTGCCGACAGCCTTCGTGTACGTGTATGTGTTTGTCCACCCCCTTGCTTTGGTGCTTTTTGCCCTCCCAACCAGTTTTCTTCAGCATGAAAGCCCCAAGATGGTCGCCAATGTCTGCGTATCAGTATTCCCTTTGGTTATGGACAAGGCAAGCACGGTTGCTTCAGATGTATCCGACTGCAACCATAGGATGCTGGTGCTGGCACCGGTACGACCTATCAAGCGCATTATATTTGTGACGGCCTCCATGAATCTCTTTTGGCAAAGATAGATCCAGTAGCTACACTGCTGGTTTCTAGCCTCCAGGAACATGATGAAGCCTAATGCTGCTTTGCTGCCATGCAATCTATCTCTACCTCAGGCAGAATATCCAACGTTGTGAGGTTCCCCATGATGCACGCAGCCTTCTTCTGACAACCTAATGAATAAGGAATGAATCCCGAACCTTGCCAGCAATGACATCGTCTTCCAGCCAGATCTATCCCGCGGGTTGCAACTTCTAATACTAGTAGAAGGTAAGATCAATGTTGCGGCGGGGCCGGGTACTAGTATCATCCAGAACCTGTGGATGAGAATTGGTTGATTGCAGGGAAGAGCAAGGGCAAGCTGGGCTTCAGATTCTAAGTTTCATCCTGCTTGCAAATCCAACCAAAGGGCAAGTTCCTGCTCTGTTCATCACATACATTGAAACCAAGAAGCTGTTGCTGTGGTAGAAAACGCAAGGTGCATTACGGATGTGATACACAACCCAGAAGATTGGTTTTACCATCAACCAGCTTGCAAAGCAACTTTATTCCGTCTCTTTGAGACGACGCACCTTTTGGTTACCCCCTCAGTTGCACTCTGAAATCGATTGGCTCGCGTTTACTGTGTAAATTAGTGTACCCGCACTTCAGTTGCAGAATCAACGGTCATGTGTATCCGTAAGTACCAAACCTGTATTTAACGTGTTTTAACATTTAGATCGATTCGTGGATTGTTGAGGTGCAGCACTGATTCTCTCCCTCATTGAATTCGTATGGTAAACAGGAAGGAAATCCAAGCTTGGCCGACAAGAGTGATACATACCGGTAGGAGAGTTCTTTATCCAATCGGCCGATCGATCGATCGCAATGAGAAGCCTATTATCAAGCCTGTTATTGAAGTACAGCGCTGACTTCTCTCCCTCATTGGATTTCTATGGTATTCAGGAGAAAATCAGCTGCCGTCAACAGGTGAGTTGTTTTAATTATTCGAATCGAATCGAATCGATGTCGCACCTCTGTTATTCAAGCCTCACTCAAGCGCGTCGTCTCCGGTGTAGATTGGAAAACCATCCCTCATTGAATCCTATGGACCATGGGATGGCATCAGTTTCGGCCCATGACGGCCAAGTTGGAGAACAAGGGTAAGTCCCGTTTTCTTCAGTATCAGAAGAAAGAGAAAAGCATATCTATTTCTTACTTTCTGTTCTCTTACTGCCGACGGCCGAGGAACTACCATTGTGGAGTCTTTTCGAACGACGAACGAACGAACGATTGCTTCGGATAACAAGAGAGGAGAGGCTGCGGAGGAGACTGTTAGCTCAAGCCCTATCAGCAGCTGAACGTCGTCGAGTCATTGAAAAGGCAACAGTTAACCGGAGGAGGCGACAACACACAAGAGAATGAATCCTCGATTGGATTCATCCCTCCTTGTTATTTCCTACTATTTTGGTGGTGATTCCTGTGTCGGTATCCATTTTCCTGTATGCATAAATCCTCCAACGAACGATCGATCGCTCTGGATAACAGCAAGAGGAGAGGCTACCGCTAGCTCTGTTAACTCCTGAACGAATCATCATCGAGTCATTGAATGGCAACATCCGTCCACCGAAGGAGCTACACGACAACACACAGGCACAGAGGAGAGTGGATCATCTGACCGGATTCATCCCTCCTTGTTATTCCTAGTGGTTTGGTGGTGATTTCGTGTTGATTTCCATTTTCCTGCAGGAACAGTGCTCAGGGCGCTGTCACCGATTGATGTAACTCTACGGTAACTGGCTACAATGCTGTTGACAATATTCGTGGTTGTCATGTATTCGTCATAAGGATCCAATGCGAGGTACCGTAACCGTAGCGAGCAAAGGAACTTTCGGTACTGTTGCCACTGTCTGATGTAGCTATACCGCAGCCGGAACAATGGGTGGATTCTAATGTTCGGTTGTGCATGTAGTCTATTCGTCATAAGGATCCAATGCAAGATACCAGCAACGAGTGTAGCCTGCAAAGCGGAACCTGAGTGTGTTCGGTACTGTTGACCATGTCGCCGATGTAACTGTACAGTAGCCGACTACAATGGCTGGATTAACAATAGTCGTTTTGTGCATGTATTCGTCATAAGGATCCAATGCGAGGTAACCGAGTGCAGCGAGCAAAGCGAACCTGAGTGTTTCGGTACTGTTGCCACTGTCACTGATCCATAACTCTACGTACTGCTACGATGGCTGGATTGACAATGTTCGGTTGTGTTGTATTCGTCAAAGGATCAATGCAAAGGTACGGTAAGGAGTGTAGCAAATAAAGCGGAACCTGAGTGTGTTCGGTACTGTTGACACAGTCGCCGATGTAACTGTCCGGAGCTGCTACAATGGCTGGATTAACAATGTTCGGTTTTGTGCATGTATTCGTCATAAGGATCAATGCGAGTAACCGAGTGCAGCGAGCAAAGTCGAACCTGAGTGTGTTCGGTACTGTTGCCACTGTCACACGATCGATGCATGAATCTACGGTAGCTAGCTACGATGGCTGATTGACAATTTCATGTTGTGCATGTATTCGTCATAAGGATCCAATGCAAGGTACCAGTAATGGAGTGTAGCAAGTAAAGCGGAACCTGTGGTGTGTTCGGTACTGTTGACACTGTCGCCGATGTACCTGTACGGTAGCGGGCTACAATGGCTGGATTGACAATATTCGGTTGTGCATGTATTCGTCATAAGGATCCAAGTAGCAAGCAAACTGAGGAAACAGGAGACCATGCTGAAAAAAAGCCGAATTGGCTTTTATTCCAACGGTCGATTGGAGGCAGCATCAAGGTTCGAGTGAATGACGTGAGTCCGCGTGTCCTAATCTGGTTGGTCGATGATATTGACGGCACTCAAATTCTTAAAGAGTCAATGTCGCAAAAGTGCGTCAGAAATCGAGGCAGCTGTTGATGAGAAGCACAAGCTGCCAAGCCGTGTCTCTGGTTGCACCGTGGGAAGTGGGAAGGCAAGAAGAAGCGAGTGATGTTTTTACGATGCAATCGACAAATCACAAACATCATTCGATTGATTGGTTGAAGAAATCAGACCAAACGATTGCCGTGCCTCCTGTTGGCAGTGGTGTCTTTCACAATCCACACTCACCGCAGAATAAGATTCTATTCATTCGAGGCCCAGAAGAGCATTGCCAGTTCCAGACTTTGATTGATTGAGAAAAGTATTGTATTACTGTATTTATCTTTGACCATGAGGTTCCATGGCGCCGCCGCCTTTCTCCTCACCCGAGGACTGGGGCCGACATCCCATCAGTCAGCCCTCGACGTGAGCAGGCCTTTCAACTGGATGCCTCCTCAGAGGAATGTGAATCGAATGATCCCAGCTCTGAACATGGTGGACGCTGAGCTCACGGGAAAAGTGGCGGATGCCTTTTACGAGATGAATAATCAGATGAAGAAGAAAGACGATGAAACGCTACGTGCCCTGGCAGAAATTAGTGCATCCTTCAAAAAATTGGCGGAAGGTGATTTCCCGCGTCTGTTTCATACGCAAGAGCCGGCGGCTGTCAATGGAGATGTGGCTCCTCCTGCAAATGGAGCCTCTCTTCCGGCTGTAGCTCTTCCGGCTGTAGCTCCCATCAGTGGGAATGCCGTCGCAGATCCACCTGTGAATGGAGCTCACGTGCCAGAGGCGGCATCTGCAAGACCTTCGTTTATGGCTTCACTCAAGAAAAACGCCCAATTTAAAGGCAGCTCGGCTCCACCAGCAGCTACCAGTGGCAGCGATGCCCCTGCTTCGTACATGGATTCCTTGAAAACGAAAAATGGTGCTTCTGGCCCATCCAAGCCTGCCCCGACATCGTATTTGGATGCCTTGCATCAAGTCCCAGATCCAAGTCCACCTGGCCATTCGGGATCTTATTTTGATTCCATGGCAAGGGCTGCATCCATGGCACCTGCCAATTCGGGCCCCAAGGCTCCACCAAAGCAGCAGCCTAAACCACAAGCGCCCGTGACGGGACAGATGCCTTACTCTCCGCCATCGCAGCAGCAGGCACAGGCGGCTTTTTCTCCTCCACCACCACAGCAGGAGAAGCCAAAGCCACAAGCACCACCAATGTCCTATTCGCCTCCACCACCACAGCAGCAAACAGCGCAGGCAACGCATTCACAGCCAAGGCCTCCTTCTATGCCTTATGCGCCGCCACAGCAGGCAGCCCAGGCAAAGCCCCCCGCAGCCAGTCAGAGGGCCGACCCGCCTCCAGAATTTTACAAGCCACCCGTGGCAGAACAGAAAATGATTCTGGAACAGCCACCGGCAAAGGTACAAAGAATGGCCACCAGAGCGGAAGTATTGGATTTTGGTCCTGATCACGAGGATATGATGGGAGCAGGCCGTGCTCCTATCGTGGAAACGCCCAAAGCCAGGCACGTTGTTGTTCCTCCAACGGAATACACTGAAAAATACGGACCCGGTTTTGATGAACATATGCACTCGGAATCCTTCCGGTCGTTTCCACCGCCACATGTGCCACAGGAGCCATTGCCACAGAGTCGAATCTCAATTGGAGCCAAGAAAATGTCAGGGTACATCCCAGGAATTGAAGCACCTGGAATGTCGGGACAGGCTCAAAATATTCCTGACCCAGCTCCCAAGGTTCCCATCTCGCGTTTTGCCAAGAAAGTTTCTGGTCTGGACCAAATGCATGAGCAAGCACCACGAGTTCCTGAGCCTGTCCCCAAGCCGCCAATCTCACCCTTTGCTCAGATTGTCTCTGGTATGGAAGGAATGACGGAACGTGCTCAGCAACTGCCAACTCCCAAGCCCTTGCCACCAATGTCCGTCTTTGCCAAGAAGGTTGGAGGGTGGGATGACGTGTCGAGCGCGCCTCCAGTGTCGCCGCCACCGCGCATTGAGCCGCCCATGTCGGTCTTTTCCCAGAAGATTTCGGGTATGGAAGGAATGCTGGAGCAAGCTCCACATGTTCCTCAACCCAAGCCGAAGGCACCCATGTCGGTCTTCTCGCAGAGGGCCGCACATAATATGGAAGGCATGTCGGCTCCGAATGCACCCCTGCCAATGCCCAAGCCACCCATGTCTGTTTTCTCGCAAAAAATTCCTGGAATCACGTCGGATATGGAACGCATGCAGGCTTCCAACGGTGCAAGGATGGTCCCTCCGGCAGAGCCGCAACAGCAACAACGAATCTCGATTGCTGCCAGAAAGGTTTCGGGCATTCCTAACCACACGGCACCAAATCCCGAATGGTACGAGATCCAGAAACCATCGCAACCCGTTTCGGTGTTTTCCAAAAAGGTTTCCGGTCTCATCCCGGACAATGGTGGTTATGCCGATTCTAGCCAACCAAGGCCGGAACCACCCACGCCAAGATTTTCCAAAAGGATCAATAGCAACGTGCCTCGTGTCGTGGCCAATAACGGCAATTCCATGTCCAATGAATCGGCGCAACACGTTCCCAAGCCCAATCCTATTCGAAGGCCTTATGTGGTTGGTGTCACGGAAGCTCCGGGCTTTAGTCTCGACCACCAGGAAGCCATCGAAGCAGGATCCGCTCCCCGGGTTGCGACACACCGACCTACCACCAGGAATTCTGGTTGGGATGGGCCAGCGCCAGGGTCATTCGAGGTAAATCCTGACTTTCAAAACTATCATCCTTAATTCGTTCATGGACTGCCGCGTCCTTCTGGAAAAAATGCAAGAATATTTTTTTGAAGAAGGAAAGAGAGGTAAGCATACCGTAGACTGATGGCAGTTGAGAAAGAGTAAGTTATCCTGTTCAGGAAAAATGGACTCGACTCTACGATATACGTGCATGTTGGTGTGATGATCCATGACGATCTTTCAAGCAGAAACTACATACGAGCAAGAAGAGATTTATCTGGCCAGGCATAGAGAGAAAAATACGAGTCATGCCTGGGTTCCATCATTCATATTTATTATAGTCCGACAACAATGACTTTTATGTATCTTAGTTACTAGTAGGACTGGGCACCGTGTCGCCAAGTGAATCCTGGTGAATTTTATGTCATTTCGTCCACTAACTAGAGCTACTGTATGGTAGCTGGTGCCGTTACGGGAGCGTACCTGGTACGAACTGGGGACGGGCAGTGCTCAAATGCACCTCCTTCTAATAAGGAGGAGGTTCGATGGCGCAACCTCCAAGTTGCATCAAGGATATTGTGTGGTACACTCGTAGACTAGACTACACACTCTATCCGTTTCTAGCGGTTCTAGCTGGCAGACTGTGAGTGGAGACCTTTGTTGGCCTGCCCTCAATGCAGTGGAGGCTAATCATGGCTACTACTACTAGCTAGCTAGTAGCTATTAGACTCGACTCTACGGTATGTACCGGACGGTGACGGTACGAGTAGTATCTTCAGTACGTACCAGAACGGATTTTGGAATAATCGAATGAACATCGAATATTCTGACGTCAGTGAGCTGATGTTGGGTTGTCCCAAAAAGCGAAGCTGCTTCCCACGCAATCTGGCAGCCCATGACAGACACACACGCACCAGCCGTCAATGTTCAACAGCAGCTGGAACAAAGACCAGAGGACAGCTGGGACAAGCACTTGATACAACGACAATCTAGCCAGAGCTGATGAGAAGTGGGCCGACGAAGATCTGGCTCTCAATTCAACCCACGCCCTGAATGCCCTTACCATACAAGTGTCAAGATTGTTTCTTTCAGAGACAGAACCTGTGCTGAAAGCTAACGGTTTCTGCAAAATGCGACTTACCACCCCATCCACAACACTTTTCTTGGCAATTTTGTCCTTGAAGCAGCCACGGGAATCCGAAAGCTTCTGGGCGTCACCTTCTTTGGGTAGCAGCCCTTCGTTTCTTCACGGCCAATATCATTATCGCAATCGCAACCAACTCAAAGCGATTGTGGATGACCGTCACGAAAATGTTGGGCCCTCCAGGAAAAGACGCTTGCGGACGCATGTCCTGTCCTTTGCCAAATGGTATCAGGAACAATCCGTGGAGACAGCCGATCCTGCTGCATTGGCATTGGAGGGACTTCAGAAGGTGTTATCCACGGCCAAGGCCAATTCCATTAATGAGCTCTCAAACATGGAATATCTTCCAGCGGTCGAGCTTGCAGTGGGGGCGGCAAAGGCGTTTAGTGCCATTGATCGCAACATTAAACGGTCCATGGCCGAATTGGGCTATTTGAGTACAACACTCAAACGCATGGCCAAGGAGCAGAGCCAGATTCTGGATGGCTATCACGAGATGGCGCAAATATATCGGGGAAATTGGCAAGATATCATGGAAGAGCTTTCGGATTCGGTAGACGAGCTTTTCGCGATGGAGCAGAGCCTGAGGTTGGCAAGGTCAGATCTCATGGCAGTGGATGGGTACTTTCAAGAGGCACGGGCCCGAAACAACGAGTTCATTTTACTTCTAGCGGAAAATCTGAATACTGCTGTGCCAATCTATCAGCAGCAAGCGCTGAGCACATCTCAAGCCTTTGAAGAGATCGACGGCAAGCTGTCAAAGGTGATGTCAGATGTTCAGTACCTTAGTTCTTCGTTCGAAGCGTTGAGCAGTTTCTCTCAAATCGATCCTTTGGGTAGCAGAAATGGTACGGAGCTGGTCATTCTGCCCGACACACCCGGAGAAATGCTTCCGCCACCATTTTCACCCATCTTGAGCTTGCAGGACCGACGGCAAAAATTGAGGTCGGCGTTGGCAACATCTGTAGCAGCGGCAGATGCCTTCAACAGAGCAAAAGCATGGCATGGAGAGTATCACCACGTACTTAATGAGCTGAAGACGTCTGTTGAAGTGTTGGTGGCAGATGCCGAGTGCAAAGAACCAACAGTGGAAGAACCAGAACTAGTTGATGCAATGCCACCGTCAGTGCAAGAGCAGGCGGAGATTCCCAGTTTATCATTGGGCTCCTCGGAACACTCGGAAAGTGCTGGTGACTCTCCTGATACTGACAATGCACTTCTTCCAGTCAACGAAGACGAGGAAAGACCTTCATACCAACCAGAAGGGGAGGAATCAGAAGGGGAGGAATCATCGCAAGCGGATCAAAAGTCGTTGTGGGCCGAATCGGTACAGCTATCCAGCGAAGCGGCAAAGGCATTCGACAGCGTCACCAGCAATATGGATGATTGTGATGCCAAGAACCTTTCTCTGCTACGTGATATCAGTGACTCTTTCAAAATCTTGTCATCTGGCGATTGCTTGCTTGATATTTTTACGGAAAAGAAGAAGCCCTCGTTGCGTTCGCCCACATCGCAGCTGCGATTTCGATCAGAGGAGAAAGTGGATGCAACGCCAGCAGTACACTGCCACGATTTGTTGACGTCACATGTTGAGGAGGAAGATTCGCCAACAGAGCAACAAAAGCCCACAGATATCCCTGAAAGGCGAGCAGTCGAGCTCGCCCACGCAGCCGCCAAGGCATTTAATGAGGTCAACGACAGCATGATTGAAAACGACAAGATATACGTTGCAGAACTGCAGCAGCTACAGCAATGCTTGCGAGAGATTTCGAGGGCTCCAACGAGCGCTTTGTCTAGTTCAGCCGCAGAAACAAAAGTGGGCTTCGAGAGGCAGGAATCAGCCGAGGAGAAAACGCAAGCAGATGCTTCAAAAAGTACGGTCGTTTCGCCAACACTAACGTACTTGGAACGCTCGTCCGAGGCACAACCAATGGTATTTTCAACGCAATCAGTTGTTCAGACAACGGTCCCAACCAAAGCGTCGACTGGAGAGAAAACAAGAAAGGCAAAGTACTTGTCCACCAAAGCTGCAGAAGCCCTTCAATCCATGGACCAATCAATGTGCAAAAATGATGCCTTTATACATACTGCGCTGAATGATATCAAAGTGTCCTTTGACCAGATGGCAGCTGCAAAGACTGCCGGTGCAGATGAAAGTGAAAACTTGACTTCAACAGAACAGGACGCAGAAATTGATTCGACCTCTGAAATGTTGGATGAAAAGCAGGAGAGCTCAACCCCACAGCTGCCAGTATCTTCTGCATACCAGTTGGGACCGCAGCATGCCCAGCGGATTGCGCAAGAGAGCGCCGACGCCTTGGGAAAACTGACAGCTTCCATGGTTGGAAACGATGCTAGCATATTAGAAGAGCTGCATTCTTTAAGGCAGTCCTTCAAAACGTTGGCGTCAGATGAATCTGATATGTTGTCTTGCTTCACTCCACAAGCTGAATACGAAAGGGAAATAGGAAGGCTTGAACCAATGTCCAGTACTGTGCCCAAGAGTAACTTCAAATCTTCCCCACCAGATGCACAAAAAATAGAATTGGAGCATTCTCAGGATTCTGTGAACACACCTGAGGTTCAGGTGTCCAAACATCCCTCTTCTCCAGCAGAGCAGCAAAGAATGAAACAAGCCCAAAAACTTGCAGACAGCACTGCTTTAGCCCTCAACAGAGCAAAAGCTTCCATGGTGGGCCATGACATGAGCACGCTGGAGGAACTGCAGATGCTGAGTGACCAATTCAAAGAGCTGGCATCTGAAAAGTGTGACTTTTGGGGACTTTTTGGAGATAATTGCAATGATGATGGAGTATGGAAATCAGCTGTAATGACACACTACCCAGAAGATACAGATTCGAAGAATGAGCAAAAATTGTCAAGTAAAGACAAGAACAGTGCAGATCACAACCAGCAGCCACTGATAAATGAACAAGCCAAGGAGGCCCCAAACCTTGCTTTTGCGGAACAAATGAGAATAGATCCGTCCAGAAAGGAGTCTCAAATGCTCTCAGAGGCCAGTGCTGATGCTCTTAACAGCATGAGTGCTTCCATGATGGGGAATGATGCCGGCACACTGGATGAGCTGCACACACTAAGTGACTCCCTCAAGAGGCTGTCCTCTGATGAGTATGATTTGTATTCGCAGGATAAACCAGCAGCAGATCCTCCACAGCAATTGGGCGAAGCTGAGCCAATCTCTCCACCACAAGAGCCACCAATTCAGGCTGCCTTTGTGCAATCCAGACATGTCGAACCGGCCAGCACAGCTGCGTTTGTGTCAGGTCCACAAGAGAGCCAGGAACCAGCAATGGATGAACAAGAGGTGGCGGCCACAGACCTTGCTTTTGAGGAACAAATGAGAATAGATCAGTCCAGAAAGGATGCTCAAATGCTCTCAGAGGCCAGTGCTAATGCTCTTAACAGCATGGGTGCATCCATGATGGGGAATGATGCTGGCACACTGGATGAGTTGCATACACTAAGTGACTCCTTCAGGAGGCTGTCCTCTGCTGACTATGATTTGTAGTCGCAGGATAAACCAGCAGCAGATCCTCCACAGCAATTGGGTGAAGCTGAGCCAATCTCTCCACCACAAGAGCCTCCAATTCAGGCTGCCTTTGTGCAATCCAGACATGTCGAACCGGCCAGCACAGCTGCTTTTGTGTCAGGTCCACAAGAGAGCCAGGAACCAGCAATGGATGAACAAGAGGTGGCGGCCTCAGACCTTGCTTTTGAGGAACAAATGAGAATAGATCAGTCCAGAAAGGAGGCTCAAATGCTCTCAGAGCCAGTGCTGATGCTCTTAAAGCATGGGTGCTTCCATGATGGGGAATGATGCTGGCACACTGGATGAGTTGCATACACTAAGTGACTCCTTCAGGAGGCTGTCCTCTGCTGAGTATGATTTGTATTCGCAGGATAAACCAGCAGCAGATCCTCCTGAAGCTGAGCCAATCTCTCCACCACAAGAGCCACCAATTCAGGCTGCCTTGTGCAATCCAGACATGTCGAAACGGCCAGCACAGCTGCTTTGTGTCAGGTCCACAAGAGAGCCAGGAACCAGCAATGGATGAAAAGAGGTGGCGGCCTCCGACCTTGCTTTTGAGGAACAAATGAGAATAGATCAGTCCAGAAAGGAGGCTCAAATGCTCTCAGAGGCCAGTGCTGATGTCTCTTAACAGCATGGGTGCTTCCATGAGGGGAATGATGCTGGCACACTGGATGAGTGCATACACTAAGTGACTCCTTCAGGAGGCTGTCCTCTGTGAGTATGATTTGTATTCGCAGATAAACCAGCAGCAGATCCTCCTGAAGCTGAGCCAATCTCTCCACCACAAGAGCCACAATTCAGGCTGCCTTTGTGCAATCCAGACATGTCGAACCGGCCAGCACAGCTGCTTTTGTGTCAGGTCCACAAGAGAGCCAGGAACCAGCAATGGATGAAGAAGAGGTGGCGGCCTCCGACCTTGCTTTTGAGGAACAAATGAGAATAGACCAGTCCAGAAAGGAGGCTCAAATGCTCTCAGAGGCCAGTGCTCATGCTCTTAACAGCATGAGTGCTTCCATGATGGGGAATGATGCTGGCACACTGGCTGAGTTGCATACACTAAGTGACTCCTTGAGGAGGCTGTCCTCTGCTGACTATGATTTGTATTCGCACGATAAACCAGCAGCAGATCCTCCACAGCAATTGGGCGAAGCTGAGCCAATCTCTCCACCACAAGAGCCACCAATTCAGGCTGCCTTTGTGCAATCCAGACATGTCGAACCGGCCAGCACAGCTGCTTTTGTGTCAGGTCCACAAGAGAGCCAGGAACCAGCAATGGATGAACAAGAGGTGGCGGCCTCAGACCTTGCTTTTGAGGAACAAATGAGAATAGATCAGTCCAGAAAGGAGGCTCAAATGCTCTCAGAGGCCAGTGCTGATGCTCTTAATAGCATGGGTGCTTCCATGATGGGGAACGATGCTGGCACACTGGATGAGTTGCATACACTAAGTGACTCCTTCAGGAGGCTGTCCTCTGCTTTGTATGATTTGTATTCGCACGATAAACCAGCAGCAGATCCTCCACAGCAATTGGGCGAAGCTGAGCCAATCTCTCCACCACAAGAGCCACCAATTCAGGCTGCCTTTGTGCAATCCAGACATGTCGAACCGGCCAGCACGGCTGCTTTTGTGTCAGGTCCACAAGAGAGCCAGGAACCAGCAATGGATGAAGAAGAGGTGGCGGCCTCCGACCTTGCTTTTGAGGAACAAATGAGAATAGATCAGTCCAGAAAGGAGGCTCAAATGCTCTCAGAGGCCAGTGCTCATGCTCTTAACAGCATGAGTGCTTCCATGATGGGGAATGATGCTGGCACACTGGATGAGTTGCATACACTAAGTGACTCCTTCAGGAGGCTGTCCTCTGCTGAGTATGATTTGTATTCGCACGATAAACCAGCAGCAGATCCTCCACAGCAATTGGGCGAAGCTGAGCCAATCTCTCCACCACAAGAGCCACCAATTCAGGCTGCCTTTGTGCAATCCAAACATGTCGAACCGGCCAGCACGGCTGCTTTTGTGTCAGGTCCACAAGAGAGCCAGGAACCAGCAATGGATGAACAAGAGGTGGCGGCCTCAGACCTTGCTTTTGAGGAACAAATAAGAATAGATCAGTCCAGAAAGGAGGCTCAAATGCTCTCAGAGGCCAGTGCTGATGCTCTTAACAGCATGGGTGCTTCCATGATGGGGAATGATGCTGGCGCACTGGATGAGTTGCATACACTAAGTGACTCCTTCAGGAGGCTGTCCTCTGCTGAGTATGATTTGTTGTCGCAGGATAAACCAGCAGCAAATCCTCCTCAGCAACTTGGAGAAGCTATGCCTGAACCAATCTCACCACCACCTGATGAGCCATACTTGCAGGCCGCCTTTGTGCCATCCGGATTTGTTGAGCCGGCCAGCACCTCTGCCTTCATTTCAAGTCCACAAGGCAGTGAGGAACCAGTAATGGATGTACTAGCAGATGGGGCCGCAGAAGTTGCTTTTGAGGAAGTGGTAGATAAACCAGATCATGACCTGGGTTTATCTGGTGATCTGAGCTGGCAACATGTACAAGATAAAGCACACAGCCTGGCAGAAGAAAGTTCTCGTGCACTGGATAGAGTGACTGATGCAATGGTGAGCAATGATGCCAAGACTTTGGAGGAACTGCAGAGTCTCAGCTTTTCTCTGAAGAATCTGGCTTCAGATGAGAATAATTTCTGGTCTAGTTTTGCTAAAGCTGGAGATTCTGCACAAGACTCTGGGGATGCAGGTGATCATGCTGATGTTGCTGACATGAATCTTGATATCATATCAGTTCCCAATTCAAGTGATCCAGAAGCTGACTTCAGCCTGGATTTGCCACCTGTTGTCACTGTTAACCCGTACATGGATGTGGATTCTCATTCTCTTGAGCAAGCAGTTTCTCTGGCAGAAGAAAGTACGAAGGCAATTGGTATCTTGTCTGCTTCTATGGTTGAAAACGATGACTCCATTCTTGATGAGCTCCAGACACTCAGCGATGGTTTCAAGAAGCTGGCATCTGACAATTGTGACTTCTTGGGACTCTTTGGTGGCAGTGGTACAGGCTCTGGTGTTGTATCCAGTGAAGCAGCTACATCAGATGGACCATCAGATGCTGACAATGATACAGTGCCAACTGAGGCCTTCCTTGACAGCAATGCTCCCATGCTGGAGCAAGTGGCCTCTGTCACACCTCCACGGAGCAGATCGGAGCTATCTGACCGCAGCGGAGGTGGCAGAGAAACTAGCGAGTTTGCTTTGACAGCTCATGATGGGGCAGATTCCATTCTGGATTCAAGTGAAGTTCCAACTACTGAGTTTGATATGAATGGTGGCACTTTTGACGAGTCCAAGGCTGAGACCACTGCTGAATTTGTTCCTGGCACATCAACTTGGCTCAGTGAATCAACCAAATATTCTTCTTCTCTATCAGCAAATCGTGATCTGCAAGAGACGCCCGTCAAGCAGACAAGGCCAACACCAAGAAAGTATTCCAAGCCAGTTTCAGATGCTTTGAAAGAAATGTCTGATACATTGACACAGGGTTTAGCTCGTCGCCTTGCTAGTTTGACGGAACTGAGTGAGGGATTTAAAGACTTGGTGAAGATTAGTGAAGGTAGTCATGCACCAGAGGATGTTACACAAGAGGAGAAGGGATCTGTCATTCAAAAGGATGACTCTGTTGCATCTTCTGGTTCTGTGCCCAGAGGTGCGGGCACTGGCCCAGCACTCTACAGGAATTATGCGAAATGGAAGGGCCCTGCTGGTATGAAGCCTCCACCAGTGAGAATGTTGAAGGAAGGTACTCTAGCAAAGGCATCTGGCCTTGTGAACGGGCAATTTGATACTCCACCTGCCAACACAGATGACACACGCCAGGCAGCAGAGAAATTGCCTGAGGGGCAAAGGACACTAGCACCTGACCTTGCCCACGTGCTGGATGGCAGTGCAGATCTAGCTGATGCAACATTACAAGCTCAAGATGACCCAGCAAGTCCCAGCAAGGAAAATTCCTATTTATCAATCTACGATCAAATCATCAATCAGTTAGTAGAGGGGCTTCCTCCTGAACAGAGGACAGCAGCAATTTACAATGCCTACATCAGAGATAGGGATGCATTTGAGAAGCTGGCCAAGATGAGAAGGGAGGGCAAACTACCCTTGGAACAAAACTCCAAAGACATTGATGTGCCTCCTTATGTTCAAGGCACTGGGTTTAACCCTTTTGAAAGAACTGGTGGGACTCTGAAAAGCTCTGTTGCCATCAGTGCACTAGGAATCAGTGCCATTGTAGCTCTCACAGCTCTCAAGGCAGGCAACACCACAGCTGGGCTCTAAGGGGGGGTGAAAGGTCCTTTCTTGGGGATGACCTGGTGTAGGATGATCTGCGCCTGTTGTGTATGTGTGTGGCTCAGTTTCCACAGGTTTGTAGGGAGAAGGACATGGTGTCAGGGTATCCCAAACCTGTGAATCTTTGAATGATCCAATTCAATCATGCTGTTGCTGGACCGTTGCGAGAATCAAAAACGACGCACATCTAGCTAGTAGCGCAAGCAAGGATTGTTGTTCACCAATCATACACCATAGACTTGCAAGATTTTGGCTCTTACATTTGCCATTTGTGTTATATGTGTAGTTTGCTTGTCCAAAGCGTGCCAAGTCGTCCACAAAGCCGTTGCACAGGGGAATCCAATTCCACTCGGACTTGGCCTTCCTCTGGCTAGGCAGAAGAAAAAACTTTCAAAGGGACCGCGGTCAAGGCAATGGTACTGCTCTGGAGTCGGGATATTCAGAAGCCACACAGACTCTCCCAGAGATCCTTTGCCACACAATGCTTCGAACTCCACAATAGCAACTGCTGACGACATGTACCATGGTGTTGCCGTACAATAAAACGGGTGCTTCCACTGACAGCCGCATGGCATAGCTGGAGGATCAACGCCGCGGTTGCTGATGGCACTGATTACATGCAAATCAACTAGAATCTCCTTCCCCGGCTCACGCGTTGGCAAAACGGAAACAAGTGACATTTACAAGTTATTTTCCTATCCTAATCTGTACGCTGTTTCCTTTCCAATCTACGAAGGGGAAAACCAGGAAACCAGAAAACGCTAACAACAGACTCCAAGCCAAACCTTACATTGTTGTTCCATACAGCACACCGTTGTTCGCACACACAGCGTCCTTACCCACCGTACGTGGCATTGAGCGCATCCATGTGCACTTTCGCCTGAGCTTCCGCTGCATGAGCCGTGGTGAAAACCTCTTCGTGCAATTTCTTGTCGGTCAACTTGTCGCCAATCGTATTCAGGATATACGCCATTGTCTTCTGGAGCTCCAATCGAGACTCTGCAACTGCCATGTACCGCAATTGACGGTGTGCGACCTCGTCTTTGTTTTTGAGATTGTTTTCCTTGGTGTCCTCCAATGTATCAAGCAGCCGACCGTTCACATTGTCTGCGTATTGTAGTTCACCCTCCGTATCGTTGAAGAGCTCAGCGTTCTTGTCGCACTGCTTCGTGAGCTTTTTGTTGTTGCTGTTCAAATCGCCAGTCTGCTTTTCAACCTTCTCGAGAGACTTCTTGAGCTTCTTGTTCTCCTTGCGAAGTCCATCAATGGTCTTCATGTTTGTATCCAACCTGAGCTGCAAACGATCCTTCTCCTGCTGCAAGGACAAGTTTCCGGCCTCGGCGTCCTTGACTCTCGCGGCCAATTCATCCACCTCCTGCTGCATCTTCGCAGCATTTTCCTCCGCATCCGCAATCTGCCTCTGTCCGCTCTCTTCCTCATTCGCAATTTTACGTTGGAGATCTTTCATCTCTTTATCGAAACCACTCTGCGCTTCTTTGAACTTAGCATCGCGCTCTGCTTTCTCTCGCTTCAACCTTTCCTGTCGCTCCAACTCCTCGAGGCGTTCCCTTTCGGCCTGCTCCTGTTTGATCTTACCCGTGTTGACCTGGTACTTGCGGACAAGCCAACCTCGAACGGCCTTTTGGACGGTGATTGCTTGGGAGTCGAGACCAGTGACGCGCTGAGACTCGAGAAACTCCAACGCTCCTGAGCGAAAGTACGTCTTCGTCTTTCCACAAACAAACGCCTTGATCATCTTGCCATCTTTGTTTTTCGTTTCCTTCTCCTTGAGTGCACACTCCATGACGGCTTCGCAATCCGCTTTGACCAATTCTGGCATGGACATGCCCCCGGATTTCTTGGACGGGTACTTATCCTTGTCCCACATACTGTTGTAGCGAGAGAACACCACAGAGTTGGCCAGACGATTTGGGAAGGCGGATCTCGAAATAGTCACACCAGCCACAATACCAGCATAGCGAAGTTGCTCCACAGATGTCTTGTGCTCCATAATGAGCGGCTTCTTGACAGTGTTGGGTTTGATGCAACGGATGTATTTAGACTGTGTGGCATACAAGCTGGTCATCAAACTCGACAACTGGGTCTTGTACTTGGTCCACACTGTAGGCGCCATAAGGTTGGATTTCTGTCGCTTGGGTTTTCCCTTCGTGCCGCCAGCAGCAGCCGCGTATTTCTCGAAAGTGAAGGCATCCGCAATGATGGAGTTGGAGCACTTGGTAGCGGCATCCTCAAGATCTGTGGGCAGTGTGTCCTTGTTAGACTCCACGAACCCTGACGCCTCATAGTAAACTAGGCCAGCATAATGGACCACACCAAAGCTGAGGCGGTCGGTCTTGTGTGGCACCAAGCATGGCGACTTCTTGTGGGCGGCCAAAACCTTGTTCACAAAGCCTTCGCCGCTTCCTTTGGGACGCACACATTCTTCGTTCAAGAGAGCACAGAGACCTGTTCGACTCTCCACAAGGTCGAGCACATCGGTGTTGTCGTCGAACTTGATATCCTGCAACGGAATGCCTTCATACTTGTACTCATCCATGACGGCCTTGAAGATGTCTTCCGTAAACTTCTGCTGTAGCTTCTCGTTGGCGTAGTTAATGCAAAGCTGTTCAAAGCGGTTCACGCCAAAGGACTCAAATCCGAAAATATCCAGGAGACCAATGATTCCATACTTCTTTCCTGGGGCATCTCCTGGGTAATTCGCTTCGGCAGACGTCCTTACGTTGATGGCTTTGACGACCCAGAGAAAGATCTTTCCATACACCTCCTTGGCGAGAGCATCCGCACTATCCTTGGCGACAGCGGGGCCGAGAGGTACCTTGTAGCATTCATCCCTGGTTTTCATGGTCCTTTCCGTGAGAGCCAGTGTAATTTCGGGTTCTGCGAGTCCCATGAGCGAAGCCAGTTTGGAGAGCTCACCGGCGGAAGTGACAGCAGATTTGTCCGCGTCGCCACCGGCAGCACCAAACGTGACGTTTCCAAGCTGAAGTACAACACAAATGGCATTGTAGAACTTTTTGACATCGGAGTCCGATAGACCCACAAACTTGAGGACTTTGGTAGTGTTCAGGTAGTGCTCGGCATCAGTCATGCCATCAAACTTCATGGGCTCGCACTTGCCGACGTACTTGAAGGAATCGTTATTGGTTCCTTTGAGGCTATCCCAGATTCCCGCCTTGTCGCTATCGGGCGCGGCGACGAGCTGGTAGAAAATGTGATAGGTTCTCTCCCAATCATCATGCTTGCAGACACGGTTTTTCTCAAGCAAAAAGACCTCGGCCTTGGATCCTGCCAGGTTGGCCACCGATCGGCCCACACCTCCGGCACCATCAAATTGAAGCTGGAGATATTTTCCGAATCGACTGGAGTTATCATTACGGCGGGTTTTGGCATTTCCAAAGGCTTCTAGGAGGGGATTGGAGTCGAGGATACGTTTGACGACGGGCGACATCTCCGCCATGGCGGAACTGGGACCTTCCTGCACACTGGCGATATGATTCATACAAATCTTGACCGTCTCGGTTTTTCCAGCTCCAGATTCTCCAGACACCAAAATGGACTGGTTGATTCCGTCAAAGGCCATGCCCTTGTAGCACAGAGCCGATGTTTCGTAGACGTGAGGGGCCAAGTGTTCTCGGGGGTCTGTCTCTGAATTTTCCCAAACAAGTTTCTTTGCGTAGAGCTTGCGCTTCTCCATGGTGTAGAGGGATTCAATCCACTGATACGGATTGACGGCCACTACCAAGTCTCCTGTACGGGTGTACGGGAGGGCCTTGTTGTGACGGATTTTGATGTTGTACAAAATGGCGGCCTACAGAATGGATACCCAAGTATAAAAAAGAGATTTCATGGTCAGTTCCACAGAAAGTCAAGTGAATGGAGACACCTCAACCAGCAGCAGAATACACAAGACGTAAACAAGCAACTAGACTAACTCACCTCATGCAGATAGGGAAGATTGACCATATCTTCGTGATTTCCAAGTTTTCCTCCATCGTCCACATTCTGCATGGGCAAATTGCCTCCAGGATACGTCTTGAGGTCGATGGTTTTCTGTTCCACTTTGGTTCCAGATGTCGAGGAAGCGTTGGCCATCATCTCATCTTCACTCTTGTACTTTTGCACGGCTACCGTCGCCTTTTTCCCATCGTTACTCAGCTGGCGGGCCGGAACCCAAGCATGTTCCTCATCTCGAATGTACACGTAAGGCTGCGCGTCTTTTCCCATCTTGATGGAGTCTTATCACTTGGAAATGAATGAATAGAAGGGGGGTATACTAGGGTTTTGCAGAACACGAAAGGTCGATTTTCTGCTCAGAGTGTTCTTTTGAATGTTCCGCCAAGCAAGTCTATCACCAAGAGCTCTTTGTTCTGGGGATACCGAAGGGATGATGCTACCCAATATCTATCTATCTTCTTTGGTAGTGATTGCCAGAGCAACAGCACTCCAAACAACCAGTGATATCTTGACAGAAAAAAAATAATACCCTCGGATCTTTTTTGCAATCTTTGCCAAAGGAACAAACCAAAACGCGAAACGGTAAAGCGCTCAACTACAAGGCAGCTTGCGTTGAGAAGGTGATGTCTCGTGCATGAAGTCATGGCGAAGAAAAAGAAAGGTGAAGGTGCGAATCTTGCCTGGCCGCTTGGATATCTGACTGGATCTTTTGCTACGGTTCCGTTTTTTAGAGTTACGGCTTTCAACTCCCACAGAAACCAGACAAATGACCGGGACCCATCAAGTCAACGATGACTTTCCTTTTCCAAAACCAAAATCGTGCCGGCCTTTGCTGCTTTCTGGCAATGGACGTACTAGCTAGTACGACATAACCACAGGTTAAGGGGGTTTAGAGTAGGGAAATTGCAGGTATTGTAGCCCCAGCCCATCCGCTCCAAACTTTGATTTGCCTGGGCTGAGAGCTGCAGATCAAAAATGGCTGAGCGTGTGAATCTGATCGCATCTTCACCCATCTTGTACCGTACATTGTTTGATCCGAGAATACAACACTATGCTTCTTCTGCTACCCAAGCATGCATGTTGGTCCAAGGAAACTACTGTCTCTAGCCAGGGACCGACCCGCTCATAGTGACAGTCCTCGTAAGGCTTGGCTGGACCAACCAGCCAGCACATAAACTGACTGGCTACTAGATAACAACATGCTCCACAGGAGACGGGTCTTTGCAGCTGTGCATTGGTTGGTGGGAACCTTGTGGGATTTCAGTGATGGGATGGCTACGGAACCGCACAATCTCCTGGTTCTGGCTTTGGTTTTCGTGCCGTACTGAACCGCGCCATGTCATCTTTGTCCGGATTAGCTATATACGACGAGGGAGCTGGAAGGTCGAAACCGGTACCGGTAGACTGTATACTTTAATGCTTCACGCTATTGTTAAAAGTGATGGTAGTTGCACGATGGCTGCTACAGCTAAATAATTATGGTCCAATTCTTTTGTTGTTTGACATCGACGTCTTTGAAGGATCCCCTGAGAAACGAAATGTCGTTACCTTGGCCTTATCTTCCGCTGTTACGGTCTCTGGTCTGACGGTTTTCTTCTTCTGACGAATTGATTATTGCTGCAGACCGGTTGATGTGTGTGCGCCTGGAGTTCTCGCATCATCGCACTTACAACACAGCATGAGCATTTCCATAGTACGACCCCATCATCCTCGACTTTGCATCTGCAGGAGTCCCCTTAGGGTATATTTTGATGGTCTTGATAGACTCGAGGAGCTCTTCGTCAAAACCTTCACTCTTGAGAAGTTTCATCTCCTCAATGATTTCGTCCCGTTTATCCTCGAATGCTTGACGAATAGCCGACTCGACATCCTCACGGCGATCCTCTCCAAGTTCCTGCGTTTCCAAAAACTCATCAACGTATGATTGTAGATTGTAATCGCCGTCCTTGTCGAACGACTCGTATATGTCTTCGCCATTCTTATCCGGAACCGTGAAGTTTACGAATCGAACGTCAAGTTTTCCGTGTTTGTTGAGTTTCCAGTCGACGGAAGGGCGACGTGAGAACAATTCCAAGTGTTCCTCCAGCACCTTGGACTCTTCATCCATTGCCTTGATGGACGTTTTCGTCTTGCGCTGTGACGACGTCAAAAAGTAGACTCCGGGTGCAACACTGTTCCAGCGCATGCCGTAAGCTTTTGTCATATCCTTCAGAACAACCGCATTCTCCCCGTGCTTATTCTTGTAGGCGATGTACTTGGGAGGCAATTTCTTGTCGGGTACCAAGATCACGCCAAGGTGGGGAACCAATGTCGTCGCGTCCGTCAACAATTGGGGAGATCCATTGTAGATGCAGACGCTATGATTGGGATACTCTTTCATGAGATCAACAACGTGTCTGCCTAGATCATAGTCATGTTTCTTCTTGGAAAGCAGGGCAAGGTTTTCCCGATTCTCTCCAATCGTGGCAATGCTTCGGATTTTCTCGTCCAAAAACGCCAACGGCGTTACTACAGCAGACTCCTTACGAGACACCTTTAAGCTGCTTTTGGCAGCGCGTGAGGCAACTGGTGCCTTCTTCTTTGCCTTTTGCTTGTTTGAACGGGCCATGACTTGTACTGTACCGGTATGATAGGGTTTCCTGAGAAAGGATTGTTCGATAAAGAGAAAGGATGTTCGATGGATTGTCGTTGATGAAGGAGTTGTTGAGGTTTTGGTGGAAGAAGAGGGCGACGAAATGCAAACGAGAAAAAATGAAGAGCTTGAAACGTGCCCTCTCCCCCGGCTCTGCACGATTGATATTAACCTTAGTAATAGCCAGGCGTCGCATCTCGTTAGGGTTAGTATACTGTACCGAATCCAAACCCTGTTGGAACTTGAATGTCACCAATCGAACCATTGCACCTGGTACTGTACGGTAAGGTACATGGTACCGATACCTAGACTACCGTACCGGTAAGCATGTAGTCTAGGTAATCGGTGGCTCGAGTGGGCTGGCCTATTATTTGGACAAGTATGTACAGTCGTAGCCATCACTGGACAAGGCTTGATTCGATTCGATTCCAACACCCAGTTCTCAGCAAATCAATACGGTACTACAATCATCTGTAGAACAATAGCCTATCGGAGATGAGAGGACACAGGCAAGTCCCCAGCCACCAAGAACTCAAGAATCCGTGGCAAACTATGCATGCGCAATAACTCGAAATTGGAAGCAAAAGTGCTGGCCCAACCACTGGAGAAGACATCTCCAGCACATTTCTCTTCACGTGAAGAGCATTCAAAGCAGCCAGTTGGGGACAGGCACAAGCAAGTAAAGCAAAGCACCAGCCAGAGATCAATGGACACAGTTACCATTCCCAGTGGCGAGCGTGCGTCTTTCTATCCCAGCAGACATGAGGGATATTAGCATACAACCTTCATCCGTCCTTTTGTTTGTTTCTTGCAAGGAATAGCTCCATCTCTCATTGATTGCATAGAATGCTTTCTTTGTCCTGACCACAGATGCAACTTTCTGCAACTCGTCAACGACCGACACTTGTTCGACCAATGGAAGACGACCCTCGGCCGCTTGGGGTTGGACCACCTCACCAGCTTGATGGCCACCTCAGCTCCAATGTTAAAGAAAGCTGTGTTTGCCTCATAAGTATCTAAGTACAGCTTCACTTAAAGAACAGCGAACTTCATTCGAAGAACGCCCAATATCAATTAGCGCGTCTTGAGTCCACAATAAGCGTGGTTGATTCCCCAATCTTTCTGCGTTGGGTTGAGCGAATTTTATCGCGTGACTGTTTGAGACAAAGACGTGGCCGTTTTTGGATCCTTTTTCAGATCCAGCTAGCCAATGAAGACACTTGAAAACGGGAAGCGGTAGGGAGAGCTGGTGTGCTGGTGCATGTGGGCTATTCTACTGGTTCCTACAAGGGAGAGCTCTACGACCAGTAGGTTGGTTCCCAAGATAGAGCACAGCCGAAGCGCGAAGATCGATCGATGGCTTTTTGGTTGTTTTGTTTTGTAGAAGTGCAGTTTGATGCAGAGCTCAGATTCTATGTTTTGTGAAACTGAAAACGCAAAAGTATCTTGTCATTAGGAGTTGTTGTGCGAGGGGTCTACTTGATTAATCCGCCCCCACTACTACCCTTTGGATTCGATTCTACTTGCTATTATCAACTTTCACGCTTACTGTATTACTACGAATTGTTTTTCTGGAATCACCAGCATCACAAACAAATTATCCACCATGACTCTTGTTACTTTCCTCAATGAATCTGAACTCTCTACTACTTCTAAGGTCGGCGTTCCCTCTTTGGATTTCGATACTTCTTCCAAAGCAGGCAACTTTCGCTTTACCCTCCGAAAGCGATCGCATGATTTTTCTCCCGAGGTGAACATGTCATCTTATAACTCTGCCTTTCTTTCGGGCCTCTTTGCCGATGTGGCTCGTGTCGCTCAGAGCGACGACGAAGATACCACTACTGACGAACAAGAAGATGCCCGCCTTGACCTCAGCATGCCCGTGAAGCGAAGCCGTGTCTCTTTGACCAAGTCGTTTTCCCGTTGTGCCCGATCTTACAAGAATCTTACCGAAGTTTCCTCTCCCGTCGGTGTGGATGCCTTCCCATCCATTACTACTACTACTACTGTGGAACCGTCTTGCAGTGCCAGCATGGAGCGAATCAACTCTCTCGCATTCCAGCTCAACTGTGTCGATCCTTCTCCCAAGTCCGTCAAGTCCGTTGTGGATATCATCGACATGGCCTTTCCCCACCTCCCAGCTACCGTAAGCGACTCTTCCTGCAGCACTACCAAGCAGCAGGATCTAACTCGGGGTTCTGACCAGCAGGCGTCAGAACTCTCCGAGACTACTCTCAACAAAGAGAGCTACGGTTGGTTTGTCGAGTTGGACGATGGCGATGATGATACCCCAGTGGTTCCCACTACCATTCCCACTTCTCGATCGGATACCTCCTTGGATCTGGCCTTTTCGGCCTCTACCGCTCCCAAGCGAGTCAGCAACTACGAAGCCGAACTCGAATGGGCTCAGGCCGCCGACACGGTCGATGATGTGCTTGGAGACTTCTTCTGAGCATGTTGTTGTACTTCTTTTTTCGTCTACATTATCTTTCTACCCTTTTACATATCCAGCATCCTTCCTTTCCACAATCCATTGGAACTGCTCCACTTCCATTCATTCATTCGCTCCAGCACTCTTTCTCATCTGCACTACTGCACTTTCTATATCTTTCTACGAATCTCCAACCAAAAAAATCCTTTATTTACATACCCTGTCCAAACAATCGCTGTTGCAGGGCGGGTCAGCCTCAGGTTGACCGGCGCTATTTCTACAAGAACCACCACTCTTTATCACTCTCATCATCACGCTCTTTATCATCTGCTCTACAAGCTACACACACAAACACATCCTCCTCCACCTTCCAAAGCTATCTTTTTCGTAAAAGAGACATTGGACCATCCAACCTATTTGCCACTTACGTGGGGCTCATCTCACCCACACCTGCCGACCAAAGGCACTAAGACGGACCACCGTCACCCTCGAGATCTTATCATCTGGCAAATCTGTTGGGACGCCCTTGTCTCTTTTCCAACCAAACCTAATCTGTCGCAAGAGCGACGCTAGCTACCAAGGGAGAAGAAGAAACACGCGCTAGTGGGCCTTCCTCCTCCCAGCTAAACTTTTTACTACTAGAATGATCTATTATTCTTGGGTACATACAATGCTTCTTTACTATCTTGCTAGCTAGGTACCTGTGCTCTGGCTAGCATCGGCATTCGGTAAGTCCAACAACCGGACAGCTTGTCCAAAACCATTCCAGGAGAGACCCAACCACACCGGTATCTCCCAGCACATGCTCTGGCCATGGTGAGAAAGCGTTCTGGTTTTCGATGGCTCTCTTCCCACCCAACCAACCCGCCGATGACGTACGTGTTTCAGGTCGTGGTAACCGCCAAAAAGGACTCAAAAGATCCAAACGAAAAAACCACGTCAGTTTCGCTAGCTTCGCTTCTCGTTAAATGTACCAGGGAAGAAAGCTATTACCGGGGAAGAAGGCAGCTTGTTTCACTCGAAGTCTAAGTCTCCCCATGGTTGGAAGGGGACACGTAAGAGCACGCAAGAAACGGGAAGGATCTATTGCCCGCAAGCCTCACTTTTTCCAATATTTTGCTCGTTCTCGGTAGCCGAGGCAATTCGATGTCTCATTTATCGCCATCATTAGTTCCACTTCCGCCTGAAGTTTTCGTCTGTGAATGACAAGCTTGTACAAGGCAATTGGAAGTGGACGGAAGTTTTTGTCTTACAAGGTCGAATCCTTTTTCTAAACAAGCGGCAACAAGCTATTGGCTGCCTCCACAATCCGATTAAAAGATGTTGCGCCACGCAGCAGCGCACAAGCACAAGCTGGGACAACCCAAGACAACAATCAGGCCGATTGTGCAGTACTACTAGCCAGTAAAGTGGAAGAAAGCGTGACGAAAGACTTGAAGTGGGAATGTGAAATTGCATTTGAGAAGCTACAACTCAGTGTCTTTGATAGTAGGCATGTCGTGGGAGGTGCGTGGGAGCTACTAGTAGTACCTCTGGGAGCTCATGTGGGGCAGTTTGCTGAGCGGACCCAACAGGTGATTGTTGTCTTTTGGATCTGGTGGTGTCACGCTTCACAAACAGCAAGAGTTAACAATAATGTGAATTAGAGATACACAAGAACGCTACGTCAGGCCCTACTCGAGAGTCCACGGATCAAAGGATCCAGGCGAGTTCTAGCCTTTGGTGCCGGTAATAGATGGCTTTATCCTTTCTTTGTTTGCACGGAGCGATGCAGAGATCTTGGTTTGGTGGCCAGGTACGGTACCCTTCACTTTTAGGGACTTGCCAACACTAAACCGTGGCAACGTGAACTCAAAAGGTGCTGGAAATGTACTGGTAACTAGCTCTACTAGTCTAGCTAGCTAGCTAGCAACAAGAGTATTACTAGTAGGGTGGGCGCCATTGAGCTCGCCATCTGAAGCGCCTTGCAACGCTGCGCTGCCCCTCCAAGCCACAGCGGTCCTGATGCGCTGGTTGATTTCGTCATTTGACAGCTCTGCTGTTTGATAAATATTTAACCTTAACCATGCAAGCCTGTTTAGCTGTTTATGCGTATCAGGTCCGGGCAGATGGCCTCTGGGCAATCCAAAGAGGACGGATCCACGATCCGTGACCATGGCACCCCCACAGCCCCCAACCAACCCACCAACTAACTAACCAACCAATCCAATCCAAGCACAACCTAACTACCCCTGGTGGCCTTGCCCTTGGACCTAGTGGCAACCGGCTTCTGTTTTTCTTGGGTGGTTTCTTCTTGGTCTTGGGCTGGGCAGCCCTCCTGGCAGCCGGCTTCTTGGCAGCAGCCAGCTTTCTTCTGGGACAAAAGCTCAGCAGCCTTGATGCCACACTTCTTGAAGATCCAGTTACCATCTCCATCAAAAGACCCTGGGTCGGTTCTAATGTGGACATGGCGGTCTGGAAACTTCTGATATTGCTTGCTCCACAATACAGCCAAAGAGGAGATGGTCCAGTGCCCATGGCTCGTGATTGTCCTCATCCAGCTCCTGGTCCACCGCCTCTTCCTGACCAACAGGCAAGGCAACAACATTGTAGCCCTTGCTACCACGGAGCCTGCAGAAATCCATGTTTGGATCTGGCCGCCATTGTTGATGGGCCTCCTCCAACTTGTTCCCAACCCCACTGAATATTCTGGTGGTTGGGGTAATTTACGAGCGCGGTGGCACGATGACGACCACACAGCCAGCGGCACACGATTAAATTCGGGTTTATCCAACGGAGGGATTGACACACCTCCATCTTCCTCATTGGAAACCTCATCAATTGATCAAGGAGACTACTAAGACTAGTACCATGTTGACCAAAGACAGCACCACTACCGATGATGATAGCAGCAGCAGGAAATCAGGACGCCGAGACTCCTCCTCCTGTTCTTCTTCCGCTGATATGGACGAAAGTTTACGAACCATGAGACGAATGGAACGTCGGAGTGTCGCCAACGATTTGGAGGGACTGTCTCGCCTCAGTACCGATGCCGTCAAATTAACGACGCAATTGGTGGAAGCCCAGCACAGTCGCCTCGATTGGTTTGGCAAGCGCCTTTTCAAAGATCGAGGAGAGGACAAAGTGAGAGGCCCCATTTCCGCCATTGTCTACGGTTCCATCCACGCCGTCAATGGTGTCGTGGGTGCTGGTTTGGGATTGGCTTTTTCCGTCTTCAAACCAGTCTTGGGCGATGCGACGCCTTCCAAACGAAAAGATGCGGCCATTGCGGTGTTGAATGGCGTAGTGGGCGATTACTTGGAGGCGGAGAAGAATCCATTGGCCATTTCCATGCAGTGGAGAACCTCGGAAGGATATTTGTTGGATACAGACGACAAACTACAGGAATTGTGGCAGGAATCGGACTCTCAAAATGGACGACTGTTGTTGCTGATTCATGGATCCTGCAATACTCCCCATGACTGGTGGCAGGAGGGAATCAATCATGGAGTTGCTTTGGCGGAAACGCTGGACTACACGCCCCTCTTTCTACACTACAATACGGGCCTACACATATCGGACAATGGGAAACAACTAGCATCTGCCATTGATCGCCTTGCTGGTTCCTATCGACAACATCAACAAAAACAGCAATCATCATCCAACAAGAATCCACTGTCCTTGGCCATAGTTGCTCATTCCATGGGTGGATTGGTATCACGGAGTGCTTGTTACTACGCCGAACACGAAACGGAAGAGTACAACACCAATCAATGGTTGGACCAGGTAGGTTCCTTTATCACTCTGGGATCACCCCATCATGGGGCCATCCTGGAACGGGGTGGGAAACTCGTAGATGCTGTTTTGGGAGCCCACCCCTACACAGAGCCCATCTCTTGGTTGGGCAAAATTCGAAGCAAAGGGGTGACCGATCTGGGATATGGTAAGTGTAATGTTGATCTGGGGATTTCGGAAAGGAGCTGATACTCAGTCACTCACACTAGCTGGTTCTCCTCACTTCGTGATAGGCAATGTTCGCGACGAAGACTGGTACGGGCATACAGGACCAACCGACAATCGAAAACCAGCGCCGTTGCCAAAGCTTGTGCGATGCTTGGCCATTGCCGCTGTGCTGGGCGATGTCAATTCCTCCAGCAATCGCATGTTGGGAGACAATCTGCGTACCGATGGCTTAGTTACACAAGCTAGCGCCTTGGGGCGTGGCCACTCCAATCCGGATTTGAATTTGGTCTTTGATGAGGAGATCACCATCTATAATCAAAATCACATTGGATTGTTGGGCAGCGAGGAAGCCTACGATGCCATGCTTTCCTTTTTGCTTCGACAAGGACCGCCGGGTAGTCATCTCTAGCTTGATTGAGTGACGATAAGAGTCACTCCAAGCTGCTGTACAGCCATCCTGACGAAACGCTGGACGAACAAAAGATCATTTGACAGCTCTGTTGCTTTCTTATCGTTGACCTCCTTTAAACAAGCCTGTTTAGCTGCCTATGAGTGGGTACCGGTAGTCAGGTCCTGGTGGATGGCCAGGTGCTTCCTGCTTCCAGGCAAACCATGGAGGCTCGATCCACGATCCATGACCATGGCGCCCAAAACGGATTTGGGGCCGAACGACGTGATCAACCCACAGGCGAACCCATTACATGTACTAGTACATGTTTCCCTTGATCACTACCACAACGAAGGAGCTACCTAGCTAATTGAAAAAGTAGAAAACGAATCATTAGAATTGCACACACCAAGACAATTTTGCGATTGCTCCTTCTGTGCCATAGAAGCAAGCAAAATGGACTCACCAGAAGATCTCATTAAACGGTTGACACTGGACGAAAAGATATCACTGCTTTCGGGAAAGTCTATGTGGTCCCTGCAGAACATTGAAAGAGTTGGAGTGCCTTCTATTCGTGTCTCTGATGGCCCTCAGGGTCTTCGGAAATGCGTTACAGAGCTCACTGCCATGGAATCATATCCAGCCACATGCTTCCCCACAAGCTCTGCGTTGGCATGTAGTTGGAATCGGAGCTTGGCGGAACAGGTCGGCCGGGCCATTTCCAAGGAATGTCGGCAACAAGGTGTTCATGTTCTATTGGGACCTGGTTTGAATTTGAAGAGACATCCCTGTGGAGGACGCAATTTTGAATACTTTTCTGAAGACCCTGTTGTTAGTGGACACATGGCTGCCGCCATGGTCAAGGGAATCCAGAGCAGTGGCCATGTGGGTGCATGCATTAAACATGTCTGTGCCAATAATCAAGAATCATGGAGATTCCGGGTCAATTCTTTGGTGGATGAGCGGACCCTCAGAGAATTGTACCTCAGCGGATTTGAGTATGTTATTAAGAATGCCCATCCATGGACTCTCATGACTGCATACAATCAGCTGAATGGCATCTATTGCAGTGAGAATGATTATCTGTTTCAAAACGTTGTTCGAAGTGAGTGGGGCTACCAAGGCCATGTCCTCACAGATTGGGGAGCGACCAATAGCAGGGTTGCAGGTATTGATGCAGGTGTGGATTTGGAAATGCCAGGATCCTTTGGCATCCACAACACTCTCATCAAGGACGCTTTGAAGGCTGGGACTCTGTCGCAGGGTAGATTTGATGAGGCTGTGCTGAGGAATCTTCAGCTCATTCACCGAGCGGTCAATGGAATGCAAAATGGCGACAACAGGGGAGACAACCAGCTTCCCAGTTCCCAAGAACAGCTATACTCCGAACATCATGAAATTGCATACAAAGCAGCACTTGACTGTGTAGTCTTGTTGCAAAACAATGACAATATACTTCCCCTTGCATCCAAGCAACATCAATCATCATCAGGAACCAAGGTAACTCTGATTGGTGATTTTTGTCAATTTCCTCGATATCAAGGCATGGGAAGCTCCAAAGTAAACTCAACCAAAGAAGACACTGTTTTAGAACACATTGGACAGCACACTGATCAGTATGTCTTCTCTCGTGGATACTACAACTCAGATGATGAAAGTGACAGAGCTGACAACAGCCACAAGCAGAGAAAACTGTTGATTGAGCAAGCAGTAAATGATTCCAAGGATGCAGAAGCAATCATCATTGTGGCTGGTGTGCCAGAAAGCCATGAATCAGAAGGATTTGATCGGGAGCACATCAGCTTGCCAACACAGCACAATGAGCTGATTCAAGAGGTTTGTAAAGCCAACTCCAATGTCATCGTTGTTCTATACAATGGTGGACCAGTTACAATGCCTTGGAAGGACAAAGTGAAGGGAATTGTGGAGTGTTATTTGCCGGGACAAGCTGGGGCTAGAGCTCTTGTGGAAATTTTGTTTGGGATGGCCTCACCAAGTGGAAAGCTTGCAGAATCATTTCCCTTGAGCCTGAACGATGTCCCCTCCAATCGTTATTTCCCTGGGAGCTCCCACACTGTGGAGTATCGAGAGGGGCTCAATGTCGGCTACAGATACTATGACACTGCCAGAGTGCCGGTGCTATTTCCTTTTGGACATGGTATTTCCTACACAACATTTGCCTATGAAAACTGCACTTGCAGGGTCATTGGCCAGCAACAAGAAGAGAAGTGTGGCACTTTGCCACTGGTTCAGGTTGAATGTACAGTTGTCAACAACGGCTCCAAACCTGGTTCTGAGATTATCCAGCTGTATGTCCACCACAACAATACCTCTACACAGAATAGGGTGTACCACCCTGATCAACAGCTCCAGGATTTTGCGAAAACAGAGGTTCTTGGGCCTGGGCAGACCGAGCAGGTAACCTTCTTATTGACAGCAGATGCCTTTTCTTTCTTTGACACAGGGACGTTGAAATTTGTGATGGAAGAGGGTGCAACCTATGAGATTCGTCTTGGATCATCCAGTAGAGACATTCGTTGGACAGGGACAATCGAGAGTGCAGACATTGCAGGTAACTCAACAAACAGTTCCGTCAACATTGTCGACCCTTCGAATGATGCAACAACATGCCATCCACCTCTGAAAGACAAAGGCTCCCTAGCAAGTCCACTGGTTGTTGACGATGCGACATTTCATGACATGCTCGGTACTTCGCCATCTGAGCTGATGCATTTGTCTGCCCAATCGTTGTTGCAGCAGCATGTGCCAGGTCGTGCGTCCCCACAGGTTGAATCTGTTCAAGGTATGGATCCCAACTTGCAGGTGTTACCGCACGACATTCATGTCATCCATCCAAATTCCTTCCTTTCAGAGGTTGAGAAGAATGGCTATTTAGGCAAGCTTTTTGTGACAATCATCATGAAGGCAGCTGAAACTCAACTGGAAGACCCCAATGACATGAATCAACGGAAGGTGGTCCAAGAGGTGGTGATGAACACACCCCTTCGGTGCATTGCAACCTTTAGCCAAGGGAACATGTCCTTTGGCGCGCTTGATTTGTGGATATCACTCTTCAATGGACACTATCGTACCTTCATCTATGGTTTCTTTTCCAGCTTTTCCAGGAAATGAAAGGCTGCATTATAATTTTCGTCGTTGCAGTCCTTAGTGCGATACCAGTACCAGCAGATGGGAATAACCCTAACCTTCGTGCTCGAACTGTTTCGAACTTTCTGGGGTGGTGTCTAGGGTGGACAAATCATACGTGATCGCTTTATTATTTGTGAACAAGTCAAAATACCCCTTGTATTATTCCCTGCTAATTCAGAAGCCACCCGCCACCAATCAAACGAATACAAGTGTCACACTGCCGCCTAAACCTGGCTGCGTCACATGTTCGGTGCGTAAGAATCAATCACTTACGAATGCTTCCTCTAGCCAGGACCTCTCGAGAAAATGACGGAACGACAAAGACTTCAAAGCCACTCGCCGTCGACTGCGTCAAGTTGCATCTCACAAATCCAATGTTCGACACATCAACATCTGCTGATT